TCTTCTTCTTTGTTGATCTAATTTTCTAGCTTAATACTTTTGTTTTTATTCATTGTGCTTTTAGATTTTCTCTTCACAAATGCTTTTGAAAATGAAAGGTTTTTATTAAATTTCTCATAGTAAATGATTAAGTGTTAAAAAAGAAAACAATATTATTGATGCGTATACACAGCTGTAAATTACTGATGTCTTTTTATGGACGTGTGCAGAGCATAGTGTGGTAAGTGGTATCAGCGAGATAATATTCTGGCTAAGACATTAACTTACACACAAATTTGCCTGGGAAAAATATGAATCCATCTCTTTTACCCTCAGCTATGGGTTAAATAGCAAGGCAAACTGGGTGCTTTAGTCTTGGCCACCAGTCTAGAAAAAGGACAATTTTAAAAGTCAAAACTGGTGAGATGAGTAACTCCACTCTGTGAAAGCCTACTTGTTGTTGGGATTACAATAGCAGCATAACATGGTTCAGATGTGACCCTGTACACCATGGTAAGTCCAAAGGCTCAAGAGTAGTAGTAGTAGTCAGTCAGTTATGTACCATGCATGATACATGCTTAGGTAATCATGTATCTTTTGATACATGACTGATGAGGCAGATTTTTTCCCCACAGTAGGTTACCATCTCTTTCTGCAGTAGACTACTTGCCATCCAAGGCTATAGAACCTGGTCTGTCCTGCTATTTACCCATAGCTGGAAGGAGAAGAAGAGGATTCATACCTTTCCAAAGGGTATTAGCATGTAAGAGAATGTAATAGATTTGACTGGAATTCCAACTCGGCTCTCTGATTACTCAATCTGAGCCACTAACCATTACTATCTGATGCTTTATAAAACTCCTACATATGTTCTCCCCCCCAAAAAAACATCTCTCAGTTCTTATATGCAAAGTGAAAGGAAGCTAATGTTTACCTGACTGTCATAGAATATCAGTACTTATACAGAACCTCATTATATAATTAGTCACTCATTAACCCTCACAAGGGTTTGTAATACTTCTTTTCCAAAGGAAGGTTTTATCTGTTAGTTGATCTTAGCTGAGTGATTGATTATGTTGATCCACACCTCTACCCTTTGAACACAAACATTTTTTATTTAGTAGCAAGGCAAACATTACAACATGTGTAATGTGCTGTACTTTACCAATGCTGGTGAATGATGTTGGTTGGGGATTTTGAATTCAGAGTTATTCTGCTAATTTGATTCAATAAGACCTTAGAACATCTGATTTAAGATACATTTCTAATTTGGCTAGGAAAGGCCTTAACACATCTGATTTCAGATACAGTCCTAATTCAGTGGATAATAATTTTTAAGTTGATGAAATTATTTTTTCTGTAGCTAAATTTGAATAAGCAATGTATATTTAACCACTTTTATAAGTTTATATTTGATATTTCAAACTGAAATATGATTGATAAAAAACTGTGACAAATAAAATAACAGAAGACCTATGAAAATTTACAAGTGTTTTTGCTACCATTCCAAGGTTTATTTTATAAACAGAGTGGAGACTGACAAACAATGAAATAATTTTTAATAAATTATTAAAAAAATATTTATCAATTTTTCAGGGTTTAATCTCAAATGTTTGAAACGATTCAGGAATACTGAAATGGTCTGTTCAAGTTAATGATGAAGCTGTCTCATGGGTTTTACTTTTACTAAAAAATAAAAATTTATTAAATTCTATTTGGAGAACTTAACTCATTCTTTTGAATATTTATAATTGACCAATCAGATTCTCATATTCTTACACACAAGTTATTTTGATAAATTTCTTTTAGATGACAAGATTGTAAATTCTCATGGAATTTTCAAATGTGTCATAGTCTTAGGATTAGGATTATTATCAAGCAAATTGTTAGAAATATTTATTTATTTCATACATTGCTCATTCATTTTAGATATTGAATGATTATTGCTGTAGATTAAGTGAGAGTAAGTTTCCTAAAAATTCCTGTACTGTTTATTTTACTTGTTATTATTTAACAGCATCTTTATTCTGTTTAATTCTATTTCCTTTTTATATAATAAATTAATGATGATGTATTCTGGAGTGGTATTTGGTTAAATTGCATTATAAATTATCCTTAAATCTACAAAATCCATCAACAAGTGTTCCAGCATCTTTAGAGGAAGTTGGCAAAACAGACATTGCCTCTTCACTTAAAGGAGAATCAACAGAAATGTTATTGACACATTTTTGTGAAAATATAACAGTGTATTTATGCATTTAACAAAATAAAACTGAAAAATCTGAAATGGCAACAGTATTATCCAATGTCAAACACTGCAAATATTGAGTCATCACAAAAACACAACTTTTATCTGATATGAAGAAACACCCACCACCCAACCACTGTAAAAAATGTATAAAAATATACATAAATCAATCATATAATTGTATTATTTTATTTTTTGCGTAGGAAATTGCCATAAGCTGTATAAGGCTTAAGTTTAGCTAAAAAAATGTTTGTATAATTTTTTATGGTTTAATCTAAAAAGAAGAAGAGGAAGAAGAGGATGTAAGAGTGATGTTCAAAAGTTAAGGAAGCATAGATAAGAAATAAGAAAATAAAAAATATTTTACAAGTTCATTATGATTAACCTATACAGTGATTTTAATTACAAAAAAAAGGGCATTATATTTGTAACAAATTTTTATTGATCTTTGATTAAAATAGATTAGCACTCCTCTGATCATATCTTCATAAACAACACCCATACACACACACACAACATATATATGAGAGGGTACTGAAAAGTTATTGGCACAACCTATTTCCCAAAATCTGACCAGATTACACATGGGCTCCTCAGTTAAGCTGAGAACCTTTTGCATGGTGAGGCATAGGTAGCTTGTATCTAGTGATCATAATTACATACACAAACACAAGGGTAAATCAATAAGTCTGTAGCCTGATATATATTGGGTTGTCAGGTAAATTTTTTCATTTTTTTTCCCCTTTATTTTAATCCTATTATTCATCAACAATTTTAATAGATCGGTCAATAATAGATTCTACTTCATAACAATGAGCAAGATTAGTATTAGAGAAATAGATCTAAGCTACAGAAAACCCGCAGAATACTATCGTAAAAATATTTTGTGTGTTAATTCAAATAACAATGGAAAGTTATCTGACAAGATTAACATTTACAATTGAATAAAAGGAGAATGCTGAGAAATGTTTGTTGTGTAAAATAAATTTGTTTTTCTTTTCATGAGGCTTTGAACTTATTGATTTAACTACATATGCACACACACATGCACGCATGTAATTACAGGCAGGTAGCTGATATTTATGGTGAGGAACACACACACACAAACACACAGGGTGCGATGCGTAAATTGCACATGCACATTGTTTTTTTTTGTGATTTTGTCGACTGCATAGTATAGTAGGGCATCATCTATGAGAAAAAGAGCGCACCATGATGCAATTCACTCCAGACATTTGGAAACTGCATGACATACTGTTTGACATTCGCACTGGAAGCTCCAATACGGACATTTCAGAGTGTTTGGGTGTCAATCTGAGGAGAATGCAGAGGATTCAGAAAGAGTTGGATGAGTCTAATGGTGATTATGAAGGTGTTTGGAGTGATCACTAGTGATGACAATGTTATGCCTCCATTCATCTTCCCGCAAGGCCTCAGACTCAATACAGAGGCCTACATCAAGTTGATGAGGTAGAGCTGACCTGGGTCAAGAGGGTGGCTGCTAGAAGACCCTATGTCTGGCAACAGGACTCTGCACCATGCCACACAAGCAGGAGAACCCAGTCATGGCTGTCAGACACTTTCTGCAACTGTATCACCCCTTATTTTTGGTTCTGATCATATTTATAATAGTTGTAATTATTTTGATATTGTTAAGCTTAGATAAATTGTTTTGGATAGTAGATGTTATGGAGTTAGTAGTTAACATTATATGTTTGTTTTTTCATCTTGTTTATTGTCAGTGTTATTGTTGTTAATAATGTTACTATCTTTTTTTGCAGTTGAATGACCTTATCAATTTTTATTCCCAACAATGCAACTGGATAAAATCAAAAATAATTACAGGATTCTATTTAAAAGCACTAAGAATATATATAAAATGCAATAGTTGTATAATCCAGTAGATGGATCCTTGATGGTTCAATGAGTTGTTTGTGATGAAGCATTGGTTGAAATCTAACAGACATCTTGTGTAAGGTATCTCTACTTCAGCATGTACAGTTTTGAATTTAGAGTTGTCCATCTGCTAACCTGATTGCCAAATATGGCTAGAGAGCCCAGTTTGTACTGTTATTTAAGCTATAACCGGGGGTGGGGGAAGATTGAAATTCATTTTTTTTATAGGGTATTTATACATGTGCATGTAATGAACACAACTGGAATTTGCCTTCAGCTTTTCAATTTCTCATTCAAAACAATTATCCATTACACCACCCACACATCCTATATATCATATAATAGAAGCAGTTAGTATGTGATGAAGATCATCATAAAGACACACGTATACCATTTTTCACTGATTCATATATTGATAAGAATCCATTGTACCAAAATGAAAATTTCCTTTCAGCATTTTAAAATGATAAAATCTCAAGAAAGCTACTTAATTCTCATTGGTTACTTAGTTACATTAGTTATTTAGAAGTATAATATAAGTTGCTTAATCTGGCAAAATCAATGCTTTATCTTCATATAGAAATCAGGAGCACAGATATTTAGCTTCTGGTGTCATCGTGTACAACTGGATAATAATTTATAATCTCACAGATGAAGATACTATTATGCCAATTTGCATTATGCATACAATCTGATACAATCAGGTATGGAAAATATTTGCAGAGGTGAATTATAAAATTTCTTTTTAGGAAAACAAGTTTTTGTTGGTTTTTGCTGCTTATATGAAAAGAAGACAGGAAACTGATTTAGTAAAACAAGATGCAAAAGTATTAATCAAAATGAGTACAAAGAAAGGCATGGTATATATCTGGCTTACCTGGACAGTTGTTGAATATGCTGGTTGGCTAAAGCGAGGTGGACTGTCATTAACGTCCAGAATTTCAATGGATAATGTTGCTGTTCCTGTTAGAGTTGGGAATCCACTGTCCACAGCTTCAACCTCAAGAACATAACTGGAGATCTATGGCAAAATACAAAGAAAGAAAGTCTTTTGTAAAAAATCACTGATGATGAACAAATAAAAAAGTAGATTTGGTATAATGTATAAAAAATGCATAAAAAGAAAGAACAAAGTAATCACTGCTTAGATTATGATTTTTTTGTTGTCATATATATATATATATATATATATATATATATATATATATATATAATAATGAATACAGAATCCTTAAAAATCCTTTCAGGTGATAATTTATGTTGTGTACTTAGATGTCCATCTCTTCAGACCAAATTTTACAAAATAAATTTTGGATTTTTAAGGATTCTGTATTCATTATTATATTTGCTCTGTTCTTACGCTGAGCACTCTTTGGATTTATATCTTTGTTGGACTCATCCCTATTAATTATCAAGTGATATTATATATATATATATATATATATATATATATGGGCATGGTGGTGTAATGGCTAGTGGCTCAGATTGAGAAATCAGAGAACTGAGTTTTGAATTCCAGCTGAGTTGATTACATTCACTTGGGAAACGTATGAATAGATCTCTTCTCTTCCCCAGCTATGGGTAAAGGCGGGACAGACTATAGCCTTGGGTGGCAACTAGTCTAGGAGAAGGAGAACTCTAAATTCAAAACCTGCAGAGAGTCATTTGGGGACCTCTTGGCATACTGTACACCAGTTCTCAGTATTCGGCTCTTTGAAAAAGTGTGGTTGGTTCTGCACAAGCCTTCATCAAAATAATCAAATGATATGTGTGGGTCATCTGGCCATTGGTTCTAAGAACTGAGCTGGCTGCTTGACACTCATATGTCAAAAATGACAGGACAGTCCAGTGTGTATATATATATATATATATATATATATATATATATATATATATATATATATATATATATACATACATAGGCCTACTGGCCTGCATACTTGAGAAAAGTTAATAGAGAAAATGTGTCCTTTTTAAGATTTTTCAAGCAGGCAGACAGGTACATGGAATAAATTAAGTTTATATTAAATAAACAACATCTACTCAAAATATGGGTATCCACTAAAAATAGCATTTGTATGAATAAAAATATTATTTACATTGTTTGGACTGTTGTTCTCATCATTATTGCTATATTCCTGACACTTTGGCCATGACTGGAATTTCAAACTGAACCCTTTATTTTGTTCACTGGGGTTAGATTTTTCTACTTCCATGTGCCATGCCTCTTCCAGATGTCTCAGTTATCTCCTTTTAACTCAACTCTCCAAGTTTTGGTTCACCACTATCTATTTTAAAATTTCTAATGAAATTTTCCTAGTCTTATGAAATCAAAAGCCAGTAAATTTGCATTTGCAATATATTTCATTGATGATGAATGGAAGTTGTTTGATACATCATCTGTCGACCAGACTTAGAAACAAAATATGAACACCAAGGTTTCTATGCAACAATCCTCAATCTAAAAATTAATATCTCAGATTGTGTGTTTGCTTAAAAGCTTTCCAGTAATATGGAATAACTTCCCTTTCTTTATAATTTGTATGCCTGATTGAACTAACAGCATTCTGTCACACGTGTTTTGTGGGTCATCTCTTAACCAAAATATCTTTATATGGACTTTCTTCCAGTTTGGCTACTTCTTCTATGTGCAGGATGTGGGTGATCATGGCTTTCCACAAATTCCTGTCTTCTGTAGCTCTGAGTAAAGTTTCTCTTTTTGCTATATCCCTGTTCTGTCAACTATTCACACAATTTCTATCATATATATATATATATATATATATATATATATATATATATATATATATATATGGATTTGATATAATCGCTGGTTTCAGGGATGCACTAGAGGTATGAAAATATACCTCCAGCTGAATATTGCATTTGAAAACAATTATCTTTGAATATCAGAATTCAGAAGAATATGGTTGTGGAATAATTAAATGACATTTGTTGTTGACTAAATATATTGATAAGGTTTGCATTGAGTAATCAGAAGGTTTTAGTGTATGTGATGAGTCAAGGTCATTTGGGAATTGATCGATGAAGAATGATAAGTGAAGAAAAAATAAATATATAAACTATGGAAGAAAAATTTTTGGTAAAAAATGGTTTGTGTCATTTTCATGTTTATTCATTGGTAACAATAGAAAAAGAAATTAAACTCTAGAGAAGGATTAAAAATGTTTTCAGCGACAAAGAAATGAGAATATTGAGATTAAAATGGAAAGTAAAAACTTAAAAATACATAAGAAAAATCTTTTAAAAAATAACAAGCAAAAGCAGAATAAATTATAGAACAACGAAAGTTTGGTAAAAATGAAATAAGAAATAAAAACTGAAAGAATTCCAAGACAGATGTAAGTGCAACCAAGAATATTTTATGATGGCATTACTTGCAACAATTCTTTTATCTTTCCTGCAGATTACTCTCACTCTCTCTGTACTTACTCACTTATAAAGTCACATCTTTCTCTTTTACAAGACAATTCACTCTCTTTTCATCTCTCTTTCTGATACACTTTTCTTGCACTGTATTAGTATACTCTCTTTCTCTATTTTTGCATGAGATTCACTTTCTTCTCTCTTTATCATTCTTTCTTTTTCTATCTCTGGTCTTTGATTCACTCTCTTCATCACTATCATTCTTTCTTCCTCTCTCCAGTAATCCACTCACTTTAATTCTCTTTCTTCTCTCTTTACCATTATCATTCTTTCTTTCTCTTTCTCCAGTTGTCTACTCACTTTGTTTCACTTTCTTCATCACTATCACTCTTTCTTCTTTCTTCAGTTAGCCACAAATTCATTGAATCTTTTTCTTCTCTCTTCATCACTGTTATTTTTTCTTCCTCTCTCCAGTAATTTACTCACTTTGATTCACTTTCTTCTCTCTTTACCATTATCATTCTTTCTTCCTCTATCAACATTTACACACTCACTATCTGTGATTCAATTTCTTCTTTCTCTATTACTAATAACTGCTAATACAATTTCCCTCCAACTTTTTCTCTATTCTTCCTCCATATTTTGCTCTTTCATGAATATTTTTTTCTCTTTCTTCCTAAGTATTTCTTTCTCATTCCTCTCTGTTTAAATTTATTCTGTCATTCTTTTTTCTTTCCTTATGTGAGTTTTGAATTTTCTTATGTTTTCCCTTTCTCTTTTTTTTATTTGCACTTACATTTTCTTTCTTATCTTATTAACTTCCCTGCTTTCACTTCCATTTATTTCCTTTTCAATTATTTAACTTCCTTTCATTCACAATTTTATTATAATACGACAATTTGCAGTCAAAAAAGGCAAAAGATAAAAGCTATTTTAGAAAGAAAGTCAATAATAAAATGGCTTACCTTTTCTCTGTCTAAAGCAGTTTTGATGACAAGGATTCCATGTTCGGGATTAATATCAAATTGGTTAGCAATATCTCCACTGCTGATAGAGTATGTCACTAGTGCATTCGATGCACTGTCTGTATCAACGGCCACAATCTGTACACTACTGTTCCCAACTGGCTCTGACTCTAGAATCTGTACGGAGTAGACATCGTCTGCGAATCGTGGAGGATTGTCATTTATATCAGTTACGTTAATTGTTACAACAGCCGTATTGCTTAAGGGAGGTGTACCACCATCAATGGCTTGAATAGTCAGGAAATATTCTTTCGTTACTTCATAGTCCAATGGTTTGTTTACAAATATTACACCTATAAACGGAAGAGAAGAAGGAGAAAATTGGGAAGAAATGTCAATATATTATGGAAGCAGTGTAAAATGAAGTATTCTTTCTAGATTCTTTCTAAAGAATTGTTTATTCTCAGTGAAGGGCTTATGGAAACACTAGTTCAGAAGTTAAGCAACATTGAGCCTGGTCAGTATTTAGATGGGTGACTGCTTGAGATTACCAGGTGCTGTAAGATTAGATATATTTTTTTTTTTGAAGCATTTCACTCCAAGCAAGGTGGGAAGCCACTAGCATGCAACGGGTTACAGAGAGTTGGAGCTAGAGCAAATAGGAGTGATAGAGGAAAGGATGAAGAGAAGGATAGGGGATAGATCAGGGCATCTGGAGATGTCTATTGATATTACATTTGAATAGTTGGAGATTATAGCTATCAGGGAAACAGGAAGAGAGGAGGGAGTTCCACAGGCGAGAGGTGCGAGACATGAAACTATTGGAGTAGAAGAGACGGATACATTTAACAGTTTCAACAGTGAAAGGGTGAGAGCGAGATGCCAGCCTAGTAGAACGCTTAAATTCGTGAAGTTTGGGAACCAGAAAAAGCAGCTCATTGGAGCAGTTACCATAAAAGTATTTGTAAAAAAGACAGAGAGAGGCGATGGCATGTCTGTGAGATATGCAGATGATGTGATGGATAATGGCCCAGAATTGGAAATTGGAGAGCAAAGTTCCAATTCTGGTCAGGTTTGTTATATTCATTTACATATAAAAAACCTTGGGAAAGGTATGAATCCACTTCTACTCCTCACAGCTATGGGTTAATTAGTAGGGCTTGTATGAATAAATTCTTATTATCTCAAAAAAATTTGTACAATCTAAAATATTTTCTGATTTCAAATAATCTGCAAAAAGGGTTGATAAACTGTAAAAAGTGTGCTGTAATTTATGTAGTGTGTGAGATGTGATAGCCACTTTGTGGATTTTGCCGAGATTATATAAATAAGGTATCATCTTTGTCTATATTATCCAAACAAAGTAGAGACTTTGTCTAGCTTATCCAAATATAGTAGAGACTTTGTTTAGATTATCCAAATAATTTTTTGATTTTGTCTAGATTATCCTAATAAAGAACATATTTTGTCTAGATTATCCTAATAAAGAATAGATTTTGTTTAGAGTATTCAAATAAAGTAGAGAATTTGTTTAGATTATCCAAATAAATTATAAATTTTAACTAGATTATCCAAATAAAATATAAACTTTGTCTAGATTATCCAAATAAAGAATAGATTTTGTCTAGATTATTCAAATAAAGTAGGGACTTTGTCTAGATTATCCAAATAAATTATTGATTTTGTCTAGATTATCCTGATAAAGAATAGATTTTGTTTAGATTATCCAAATATGTATAGATCTGCAGGTATCAGGAATACTGAACACATTTGTTTGCCTTCCTGTCTCTTCCCAAGGAATAATGGTGGATGATGTGATATACACTCAATCTTAATTATAGGGTAGCAACTTCTTAATGACAAGTAATGCTCCCAGAGAGAAGGAGATGGAACTTCCTGGGTATCAGTGTTAACAGTGTAATACTCTCTGTCTCCACTCTTCACTCTTATTCTCTTTTAGGATAACAGACTCCAAATGCATCTCTATATATACTCATGCACAAAATAAATGCCACAGTTCATCCATAGGAACAGTTCATTTTAGGCAAATAATAAATTGAGCAGGTTGAAACCTATTCTCTGTATCTCCTCTAGAATAAAGCATGGAAACATTGGATTTGTGGAATTTTTCAAGAAGGTTGCTGATTTGCTGTTCCATCTTTTAAGATGGATAATTTGTTGTGTGTATGTGTTTTGAAATTTTCATTGTGTTTGTGTAACAGAGAATTAGGTCAGCCCAATAAAAGGCTCTGAGTTGGTTGTATGTGGTGCTGTAAGCACTAGGTGTTGTGTCCTCTTCCACAATGGGCTGTTGAGAGAGGACCTTCTACTTAGATTAGGTGGCACTGACTATTTTCATATGAATTATACTGGGCAGATATTAGCCAGTAGTCAGCATGAGTCTGGGACTGGGAGAGCTATATAACACCAGTTTTTTTTTTCTCAGTTGAGAGAAGCACTTTCAACTTGCAAAAACCAGATAAGACAAATATAGTTTGTGTTTTTCAATCTGTGATTTTTTACTTTATATCAGGTTATCACAAATTTGTTGAAAGTATTAATTTTTGTGTCCATATGGTTTGGCTGGTAGAGAAAATACTGTACAATTCAAGTTACTTGAAATGTCCACTTCCCTGGCTCCTGCTCTTGAAAAATGTCAAGGGGTTGCATAGTCGTATTTGTTTTTTTGTGTATGTTTTTGGTATGAGTGTGTTCAAAATACATTGTGTTACCAACTTGCCATGGTAGGTACATGTTGAAATCACATCAGAAAGTCAGTATATATTGTGGCAAAGCTTCTAGTTAGACTAAAAGTAGTGGCAATGATATTTATATTGTATGTAAGAAAATAGAATGAATTTCGACAAGGTGATATCTTTTATTTTTTGTCTGGTAAGGTCCCAGATGGCATTGTCACTCTGGCATGCTGGGAGGTAAAAAGAGAGACAAGAGAGAGAGAGAGAGAGAACAGGAAGTGCCTTATTTCTATAATTGTTTGACAGCACCACTTAACAACTTCTTGACAAAACATGGATGTCTGGTGGAGGATCAGTTGCAATGAAGAGCCAGACAATTTTTCCGTGCCATGGATATATTTCTCATACTTGATAATCATTGGTGAATAATAGTCTTACTTTGCTACCCTGGCCTATGTCACTGGAGAGTTTTCATTTTAGAGTTATCTTTCTTCTAGATTCTTTTCAAAATGAAAGAGCCTTGACTATTCTACTATTTAATCCATAGCTTGATAAAGAAAAGATTGGGGTATGCCTTTCTAATCATTCATTTTCTATGTCATCAATACATCTACAACTGATTGCATAATATTTTTGTTGGAATTTATTGGAGGAGGAGTTATTATTTCCATGCAGACTAGTATCTTCATTTTTATTGTAGTTATCACATTTCAGTTGTTATGTCATCTGGCCTACATCAAGTGTATGATGAACTTATACACAATTTGACATACACCTAAGGAAGGCTGAATGGCAGAACGACTGAAACGTTGCAATAAGAATAATAAAGATGTGGAAAATAATAATGATTACAATCAGTCCGTCAGTTATGTGTCATGCATGATACATGCTTAGGCTATCATGTATCTTTTGATACATGACTGACGAGGCAGATTTTTTTTCCCGCAGTAGGTTGCTATTTCTTTCTGCGATAGACCAGTTGCCATCCAAGGCTATAGAATCCAGTTCTGCTATCTACCCATAGCTTGGAGGGGGGGGGGAGAAGAAGAGTATTCATAACTTTCCCAAGGGTATTAGCACATAAGTGAATGTAATAAGGAGGCTTGGTGGAGTAATGGATAGCAGCTTGGATTGAGGAATTGGAGAGCTGAGTTCGAATTCAAGTCAAATCCATTACATTCACTTACAAGCTAATACCCTTGGGAAAGGTATGAATACTCTTCTTCTAAGCTAAGGGTAGATAGCAGGACAGACCAGGTTCTATAGCCTTGGATGGCAGCTGGTCTACCGTAAAAAGAAATGGCAACCTACTGCGGGAAAAAAATCTGCCTCGTCAGTCATGTATCCTATACATCATCATCTAAGCATGTAGCACATATAGGACATTACTGAATGATCACAATACTGTGTTAATAAAAGTAAATTGTAGTAATACACATTGACAAGGAAAAGAGACTGGGGTTAAAGTTATGTTTATGAGTATGTCACTGAGGGATTGAAATTAACAGTATTTCAGATTAAGGTTTGATAATAGGTGATGCTGTTTTGCGAATATTCTCAAAATATGTACAATCAATCCTGGCTTGATTTATGTTATGGAAACTCAGTGAATAAAATATGTATAGAAGAGTGGGGAAAACTAATAACCTTGTTCATGATTTCAAATATTTAAAGATCTTGAATGAACATCTCAAATCAGAATCTGTATGTGCTGCTGCAGTTTTATCAACTTGAAAGCTCAAGCAACCAAAAACAATTGTTTTAAATTGTTCAATTTCAGAGAAGGAGTACTTACCTGATTTGGAATGTATTCTGAATCTCTGCTTCTCATTTCCTGAAACAATACTGTAGTTTATCTCTGCATTTACCCCAGCATCTTTACTTGTGGCAAGGACCCGCACAACACTGGTGCCAACACCATTGTCCTCACGCACATCTCCCATGTAAAGAGTGTGTTCAAATTCTGGAGGATTGTCATTCACATCCAAAAGTTTTATATTCAGAGTCGCTGAAGATGAGAGCCGTGGGAAGCCCTGGAAATAGTTGAAGAAAAGTTTAAGATTTGCATGCAACTAATGTACAGACTTTCATGATTGAAATTCCCTTGAGTAAGATTTTAATAAAGAATAATTGTTTCCAGTTGGAGTTTATAGTTCTGCTTCATGTTGTAAATATTGTAAAGTTGTGTTTTAATGAAGATGAATGACTGCTGAAGTAATTAAATGTATAAATGTTAATTAGACAAAATGCATAAAAATGATCACAAAACTGAGACAAGAGTTGACATTAACCTCCTAGAAAGTTGCATTATAGAAAAATACCTTGAGACAAAGTTGCTAATACAGTGCACACACTTGTGTTTGTAGTTTAATGTTATTTCCTTTTTAGGGTAAAAAATTTTTTCCATTTTTTTTTTAATAAGTTCTTTCTTTAAATTTTGAAATCCTGTATTCTGTGATTGAGTCAATTGAAATTTGTTGTTCCTTTTCATAATTCATCAAAGGGTTTTATAAATTCACTTTGGCAGGAGGCACGATTGAGTAATGGATAGAGGAATCAAGGACTGAGTTTGAATTCCACTCAAATCCATTACATTCACTTATGTGCTAATACCTTTGGGAAAGATATGAATCCTCTTCTTCTCCTCCCAGATATGGGTAAATAGCAGGACAGACTGGGTTCTATAGCCTTGGATTGCAACTGGTCTACCACAGAAAGAAATGGCAACCCACTGCAGGAAAAAAATCTACCTCATCAGTCATGCATCGAAAGATACATGATCACCTAAGCGTGTATCATGCATGGCACATCACTGACTGACTGATACTTTGGCAAATATCTTCTGTAAAAATTGGCTAACCTGAAAAAAGATTCCAATTGTATTTTTATTTGTAGGTGTCAATACCTCTGTGATTTTCTTTATTAAATTTGTGTCTGGTAAAATTCTGTCTTTGAAAATCTGGTATCCCAGATATATTATTGTATTATGGTATCCCAGATATATTATTGTATTATGGTATCCCAGATATATTATTGTATCTCAATTTAACACATATTTATCCTTGTTTATGGTCATACCAGTATGTTTTAATCCTTTTTTTGTTTTAGCTCTTCCTGACTGGTAGTACTAGATGGTAGATTTTGTCTTGATATTATTGCGGTTGAGTCATAAATGATTTTCATTTTTGGAACCAAAGGTTATGATGAATATACCATATCCTAACTGTTTCTTAAATATGACAGGTGATGAAAATCGGTTTCATACAACAAGCCCATATTTTTCTGCAATAAGATTTCTTAAATATTCAGGCCAGAAGGTGAAAATAAATACATATATTGTTTAATAAATAAACAGAATGTCTACTCAAATATGAGTATCCACTAAAAATAACATTTAAGTAATAAAAATCTGTTAAATAATAAATAAAGAATCCATTACTTCTTTAGAAATTGCTTTGTTTACGTTTGGATATGAAACTGAGCAGATATAAAATTTTGAGAGTCTATGATGACAAGGATTTTGCTTAAAGACACTATTCAGCCTTGTTTGATCGGCAAAGGTTCTTCGTGGCCGAGTTAGTTCAAGCACGTCAGATCTAATAATGGTTCTATCTGTCGAGGTGGACACAAGTTTGTATCCTTCTGGAGAGCACATGTTTTTCTTTAATAAGATTTCACAAATATTGAGGCCGGTAGATGAAAATAAATAAATATGTGACAATGTTTCACAGAAAGGCAATGGATTGGCAAGGATACCTGACTGAAAAGACATGTATCCATTTCTTCTACCCTAGCTATATTTTAATTAGTAGATTAGACTGAGATTTTTAGCCTTGGGTGGTAGCCAGTCTAGGAAAAATACAAAAATTTAAAAACTGTGGAAAAGGCAATGGGGAGCCATTTCATTGATTTTTGCAAAACTGATAGCAATTCAAAGATAATAAAGACAGTTAATTTGTAGAGAGCCATGATCACATGTGTTCTGAAGGGACATGACATTTGTTGCCTATTTGCTAGTCTAATTTATTTGTCATTCCCCACTGCATTTATCTAGGTTTGTTCTAAATGAAACTAAGTTTAGTAATAATTAAAAAATATATGGAAAATAATTTAATTAATTAAATTGATTCTGATTATTCTATATCTTAAATCAGTTCTAGGATTTATTTGGTTGGGATGCTTACATTGAAGTGCACATGAATTGTGTGGATTGATGTCACTGTCATATCCTGTCAGCACTCCTACATTTTTTTAAAAACAACCAGAAAAAAAAGCTTAACCAGTAATCATTGTAAAACTGATTCAAAAAAGGCACCATCCACAGCCCAGGTGACTAGGATCAAAGAGTAGTATCTGTTCCTAGTAGCCATTCCAGTCAGCCATCAACATCTGCAACTCCAACTTGGATGCCCACAGCAATGATATGCAATAAACTATCAGGACAATGCTCTCCAGTGACTACAAAACTGTCCTTTTTAGGACAACGCTTTTCTAACCCTTTACATGAGACATGTTTTTTTGCTTAGCGTACCATAAACCTTTTTTTTGTTGATGTATTTTCTTTAATGAAAACAAACTTAGCAATATATTTTTTACTCAAGTTTTTGTTTGTTGTTTGCTTCAGTAATTCAATATCTTTTTGTGAGCCAATATACCACCCACAAAAACGAGACATGTTACAAGTCCTGTAACTGTTGTAGGGATTCTATATGGACAGTCGCCATAGCAACAGTTGCTATGGCAAGGTAGCCTAACTGAACCCATTCTTTTACAGGCTGGTTTTCAATTCAGAGTAGATTTCTTTTAATTCAAGAGTCCAGTTTATCTTACTAATTAACCCATAGCTGGAGGGAGAAGAGAAGAATTTGTGAATGCAAAAGATTAGCTTGGAATTTGAACTCCACATGCTGGGATCACTTCTACACCAATATCCATTACATTATCTATATTGGGTTGATAGTGGTTCCAATTAAAAACTGGTATATGTTAAACACTTACATTTTGTTACTGTCTCTCTTTTTATGTCCTTTGTCACTTCATAATGTAGGCAAAAAAGTGAAAGAAAATGATTTTTTTATTTATAAATGTTTAAGTCCTTAAGAAGAATACTTACTTTGTCGTAAGCCACAACTGTAACATTGTAAGATTCTTTAATTTCACGGTCCAATGTTTTAGTTAAACTAATAATGCCATTGTTCATGTCGATCTTCAAGAAGTTATCATCAGGATTCTTCAGTCGGAATTTTACTTGTTTATTGATTCCTGTCGAATAAAATTGCCAGATTAAAAAAAAATGTAATTTGTTAGAAATTAACAATCATCATATTGAATAGAATTTTAACCTGAAATTCTATTTACAGTAACAGATAAAAAGTGGGCAGAATATCAAATAACCCCAACACAAAGCCAAGTGTATAAATAAGTACTACATAAAAGCCTATCTCTATATGAAGTTTTCATATAGAGAGAGGCTTATCATAATTTTCAAGTCTCAAACAGGGATAATTAATATTTATTTTTAATTGTTTCGCCTCAAGTCAACAAAGTCATTAGGACACAGAGGTTAAAGGGTGCAAAAGAGGATGAGAATATTTTAATGAGGGGAAGTGAGGAAAAGGACAATAAAAGAACAGGATTCAGGAAGACAGAAGATGGTGATAATGCCACTAAAACACAAGGGGTTATTGGGAGTGAAAAAGAAGGAAAAGACTTTAGTGAGGAGAAATGAGGAAAAGGACAATAAAAGAACAGGATTCAGGAAGACAGAAAATGGTGATAATGACATTAAGACACTAGGGGTTACTGGGAGTGAAAGAGAATGAGAAGACTTTAGTAAGGAGTAGTGAGGAAAAGGACAATAAATGAACAGGATTCAGGAAGACAGAAGATGGCGATTGATATTTCGTTTAATTTTTTGAAGATTGTATGTGACAGGGAAACAAGTAATTGAGGTTTATGTTCTTGCATAGCAAGTAAACTTCAGAGCTGACATAGAAAATTGAATAGAGCAACTTATATCTCTTGTAGGAAACTGAGACTGATCCCTAAAACCAGAAGAATTCCAGTCAAGCCGTGATGTCTGCTAAGTTTATGTAGAATATAGAAAACAATGATGTATCAACACTGAAGAAATGAATCAATGTTGTCAATAAATGGTATGTATTTTCATATTAAAATGGCATTTATTTCTATTTTAATTTTCAAATTGAATATTTGGCATATTAAAGAAGCCATATGCTTTTGAAAAAAAAAAAAAAAATGTATGACAAGTTAATGTCATAAAATTGTTAAGACAATTCTGCAGGAATCAGTTGAATTATTTTGATAAAAAAGAAATAAGAAAACAAAGATAATCATTAAAAAGAAACAAAAACATTCAGTGAAAGATCAAAATATGTCGGAAAGACACAACTTGAAGTGACACAGCATATAAAAGAAAAACTTTCTCAGTTGTTTCTTTTTATCAATTTCATGATGAGATTTCTTTTCATACAAGAATATCCAAATTTGTTACAAGGAGATATTTTAATTTTGAAAAAAGAGTTCAATGCCTAGATCAAGCAGTGAAGTACAAATACTCCACTTTCGTGGAATGATCACAAGGAAAAATTAAGAGAAAAGAATAAACTAACAGCTGTCTCTATTTCTGAGATGAGGTATTATAACTATTTACATCGTTTGGACTGTTGTCCTCATCTTTATTGTTATATTGATGACGTTTTGGCCTTCTTCGGGATCTGTATATTTTTCTGAGATGAGGTACTGTAACTATTTACACTATTTACATTGTTTGCACTGTTGTTCTCATCTTTAATGTCATATTGACAATGTTTCGGCTGTTGTACACTCCGGCATTCTTCAGGATCTGTCTATTTTTCTCAGATGAGGTATTGTAACTATTTACACTATTTACACTGTTCAGACTGATGTCCTCATCTTTAAAGTCATATTCACAATATTTCAGCCAATGTATGCTCTGACCTTCTTCAGGTGATATATGTTGGATAAAAGCGTTGGTTGAAGAAATCAAATGACTTGACCCAAAGAGTTGTGAGTTCAATATCTGGCCACAGCAGAGATGAACAAAAACTTGGTGAATTGAGTTACTCAAGGGAAATAACTGGAAATATCTAGAAAAGGCATGGCACTTGGAATGAGAACAATCTACCCCAGTAAACTAAATAAAATGTTCGGTTTGAAATTCCAACATATATCACTTGAAGAAGACTGGAGCATACAACAGTTGAAATGTCAGAAATATGACAATAAAGATGAGGACAACAGCCCGAACAGTATAAATAGAATTAACTAAGATGTTTCATCCCTCCGAGAATTGACACTGGGATGAAGTTCTGAGAGCAATATGATTATGACATGAATCTGAAGAAGGCTAAAGAGTACAACCGTTGAGATAACTTTGTTAACATCATTACAAGATTATGACAGCAGTATGGTAGAATCCTTACTGTAAGTTAAAATTAAAAATATATTGACTCTTTTAAAATGTACAGCCTGTATTAGTCCACAATAAATTTAAGATCTGAGAACTTCATGATACTACACTTTGTTTAAGTCTACAAATTTTAAGTTAAAGAAAATTAAGAAACTTTTATAAAACAGTATTTTCATCAATATTTTTTAGGAAATGGGGAAGTTACTTTGAGTATTCTGACAGGAAGTTAGGAGATCAAGACTGTACTGACCAGCATCTCTATCAATAGCTGAGAGTCTTGTAATCAAGGTGTTGATTTTGGCATCTTCTGGAATAGAAACTTTGTAGACTGAGTTGGAGAATTGTGGAGCATTGTCGTTGACATCTTTAATACTGATGAGCACATCAGTTGTACAAGAACGTCCGCCACCATCTACAGCATGGACTTGCAGTCGATATTCTGATTGTTGTTCGCGGTCAAGACGACCTTTAATAGTCAACACCCCTGAAAAAAAACAAGAAAAAATGTTTGATTTATTATCTGGGATTCTACAAATTTGAAATTGGCTAACCTAAGTAAAGAACAGGTGTAATGTGAATGTGAAGTTATTTCAGTTGTGAATATAGGAACAGAAAGTGAATGAGCTAGTGGTCAGTGAATTCAGTTGAAAGTAGGGATCACTGGTAGCACTGAGAAGCTCATTAAAGAGATTTTTTTGGTTAATTTGTATTTAAATATGCCTGCTGATAATTTTGCTAAAATCATCAATGGCCATCTACTTGGCAATTCAACTCAATTCGATTACAAGACTGAAAGTGAAAATGTTAATGAAGTTGATATTGAAATCGTTTTTTGAAGGCTACATTTCTATGCTGGATTAAGATTAATATAATGTGGATATCATAGACTTTAAAAATTCATAATGTACAGGCTGCAAGGGTATGCTAATTTTTTAAGTGAATGGAACTTACTAAACCGAGATAAACTCATTACTGTGGTATTAATAACCAGTATGAAATTGTGTGGTGGTTATGAGGGCCGACATTGGAATTAGTATGCTGAGTTCAATTCCAGCTGATGTTATTACATTCACTTTTTCACAAATAGCCTTTGGAAAGGTATAAATCGTATAAATCTACCTCCATCTATGGGTTAAATAACAGAGCAAACTATGCTCTCTAGCTTTAGTTGGCAACCAGTCTTGGAGAATTTGTTGGATGTAAGACTAGCAATTAGCCTCTGGTAAAAACCTAATTACTATTGAAACCATAGTAGTAACACCAAGCAGAGTGAGGCTATGGTTCTACACTCCATTGGGTGTTTAGAGTGTAATCGACGGAAGAAACAATATGTGAATGAAGATATAAAAATGTACAGGTATGAAGAATTAAATTTTTTAATGAACTTACCTGTGTGTAGTCCCATGCTAAACATTTCTGAATTATTCCCACTAAGATGGTATTTAATACGAGAGTTTCGAGTTTTCTTTTCGTCAATGTCATGAGCCCGGAACAGCTTCAGGAAAGTGGATGGAGCATCGTCTTCTTTTATAAAAATGGAGACAAATGTCTATAAAAGAAAGAAAAAAAAAAAGAAGCATTTTAATCTTGCATTATTCACACCATTATTATAAAACCAAACAATTTCCAAATTTTGTATACAAAGGGGTGCTGAAAAGTTCTCAGCTTGATTGATTTCACAAAATCAGTATTTTGATGACCAAACATTAGAATAGTGGGTCAGGTCAATATTCATTTGTATTGAGGAATTCCATAATATATATTTAATTATTTATATTTTTATTAATCTTTATTTTTATCTATGTGAATGTTTATTGATTTCATAAAATGAGTGGGTGACTCTGGACATTAATGAAATGCAGCATTTTATATATATATATATATATATATATATATATATATATATATATATATATATATATATATATAATAAAATATAATAAAAAGGCTTAAACACTAGTAATCCATGGTCATAATTTATTACATTGGAATCGTAAATACAATCCAATTCATCAGACCTACAAATTCAAAAAGAAATCAGAAAAAATAACTCCGGGAATAAAAAATAGAATTTAGTGAGAGTCTATACAACCATAGATGCTCTTTTAGATTTAGATACTTCATACACTCTTACTAAATTTTATTTTTACCAGCTATATGTTTTTGAAAAAATAATATTACCAGCTATACGTTTTTGAAAAAAATAATATTACCAGCTATACGTTTTTGAAAAAATAATATTACCAGCTATACGTTTTTGAGGAAAAAATATTAAGAGAAATAGATTTTTGACAAAACAAAAATATTACCAGGAAAAAAAATAAGTTGTCGGCATTAAATGATCCACTGAGGTTGATATACCGTAAAACAAAACAAACCAAACCAAGAATATGTACAAATTATTTGTTTAATTTATTCTCAAGTTGCAAATGGTTAATGTGTTGCAGCCAGTAAGAATCTTTGGAGAAAATAGAATATAAATCAACTCAAGGCTGTGTAGAAAGAATTATGTGCCTTAACACTCATAGGGCATGATGAAGCTAAGAAAATAAGAGAAAATCAGTAAAAGAAAAGTTTGAGCAAATGGATGAAGGAATATGTACCACCCAAATAAAGAGGGATCCCAAAGGAGTAAAAAACGAAGTTGTGGAGAATCATGATTGCTCAAGTCCTGAAGTGGCATAGTAGAAAGATAGCAAGAGATGTTCCATGTGACTGAACAAATCTCTTAATATATGTTTATTAGTCTCTTCCTGGTGTGGCTGATCATGGCTTTCCACAATTTACTATCCCTTGTGGCCCTGTTCTGCAATTATTCATACGAGCTTGTTAGGTAGGGTGGCCTTCTCTTCCCCTATCTTTCATGCCCTCACAATGTGACTTGTAATTTTTCCAAACCCTTTTTCTTCATTATGTTATATAAATGCCCCAGAAAAGATGAAGAAGAGAAGTTCTATGGAAGGATGCTGAGGATACCATGGACCAAATATGTGAGCAACAGATAAAGTTTGGGACAGAATGGAAACAAAAAGGAAACTTATACTTAAAATTAGGAATAGGCAGTTAAAATTTCTGGTGCACATAATGAGGAAGGAGGGCTTAGAAAATCTGATACTCACAGGACTGATTGAAGGCAAGAGGAAAACAGTGCATAAAATACTTGGTGGGCTTGAGTAAATGGATGGTAGTGCAAGATTTATGAGAGATAACAAAAAACAAAATTTATTAAGAACTACAATGGACAGGAAGATGTGGAGGGCCATAATCGCCTACATCATGAAGGGATACAGGACATGAAGACGACCAGTGTAGTCAGGTTAGGATCATCACTCTGCATATATGACAGATTTGTGAAAGACATTTAATAAAAAGTTTAAAAAAATATCAATATAAAAAATTTGAATAAAAGAAATCCTTACCTTATTGCATATTGGGTCATTATCGTTTGCGTCCAGAATATCCACTCGGACTCTAGTTGTTGAAACAAACTTTCCATCTGTAACAGTAACTATGAGTTCATATCTGGATTTGCGCTCTCTGTCAAGTTCTTTATTGACAATAATCTCCCCACTATTACTAATCCTGAACTGTCCAAGGCGATCTCCTTTAGTAATGTGATATGTTAACTTGCTGTTACGCCCAAGATCCTTATCTTCTGCCTGAATGGTGATAATGACAGTTCCTGGAGCGGCATCTTCATTGACCGAAGACAAATACGTCTTCTGACCAAAGACTGGCCGCTCATCGTTGACATCGGTCACTGATACAATGACCTGGCTGTACGAGATGAGAGGAGTCTCTCCATGATCTTCAGCAATAATTGTCAGATTATATACTTCCTTTTCTTCTCGATCAAGTGGTGATATCAGCTTTAACTCTCCACTGCGACCGTCCAGTGAGAATCGGTCAGTGTACAAAACCATGTCTTCAGAAAACTTATATGAGACAATCCCACTCTCTCCTTCATCTTTATCGTCAGCGTGAACTTGTACAAGAACTGTTCCTACCTTGGTGTTCTCGGCAACAGTTACGGAATATGGGTTAGACTCGAACTCTGGGGAATTGTCATTGATGTCGTTCACGCGAATGTACAGCTCAACCTGATCTACCAAGGGTGGTGAGGTCTGAGTAAGGGCTTGAATTGTTATTGTGTAGTCTTTGACCATTTCCCGATCCAGGGATCGGACCAGACGTACCTTGCCATCAGTAGTGATTGCAAAGGCAGCTGGATTATTTGTGTTTTCTGTGTAACCTGAATGGAGTGTATAGTCCAGCACTTCAGGTCCTGAAGCCTTGATGGTGCAAATTTCACTTTGGCTCATGCTATTTTCCGAGACATAAAACACTTGGTGTTTAAATTCTTCTTTGTCGAAACGTGGCGGGATGTCTTCAGCTCCCATAACAACAATTTCAAGAGGGACATTATTTTCCATGCGCTGAGTTCCTTGGTCAGTGGCAGAAACAAAAAATTGGTGGACTTTATTTTCTGGAAATGTAACATTAAAATAAACAATTTATAAATCATGTCATCTTGTTTTTGATTTATATTTTACAAAGTATTCTAAATTCGACTAAAGGTTGCATAAAGAAAATATTTTATATTTCATATTTAAAGATTTAAAAAATCATTACATGTATAAATTGAAAAGTAAAAATCAATACAAAAAAAAAAAAAAAAACAAAATTTTTAAATCAATACATACATAAACAAATTACATCCCTACATGCAAACCACCAATCTGCCACATGTGGCATGCCTCTAGCATTTACCATCGGTGGCCTGCTGTTGGACGATTGGTATATTCCTCTCGGCAGTGTAACCAGGGGTGAACTGCTAGAGGCCCACCAGTGGTGTATTGGTGGCCTGCTAGTGTCTGTCACTAGAGGACTGCTGGCATTGCCATCAGTGGCTCACCAGTGGGCCACTAGTGGTTTGTGTGTAGGGTAAATAACAAATAAATTAACAAACTATAAGTGCACACATAAACACAAACATAATAATAATCAACAACAAATAATAAAGTAATCAGTAATAAATAATTAGTAAAAAATATTAACAAACAACACTATACAATAGCTGCAAATAACTGTGTACGGATCCACAATTAGTTTTATTCAACAACCTCTAGAATAATTCGAAACATATCCATTACTGCTGACACTATAACTGTTAGGATAATACAATACACCTTCTACCCATAATGCACCACTGACCAGCATATATAAATAGTTGAGCCAAAACACAATACACAAGGCCTGAAGATTGCATTTAAGCATGAAACAGACTGTAGATGGTGGGTGCTCACCTCAATGTCCACTTTTATATTTAAATCCCTGATATTGAGCATTTTAACTCGTAACCATAGCATACTTAAAACTATATTTTTATTATGTGTGTGTGATTAATGAAATATTGAAAACAACAAGAACTAAAAAAGAGACAAACCAGTCATAAGGTGCTAGGGAAAAACAAAGACAAAAATAAAAACCATTAAGAAACTTACGATACAAATTGGTCAATAATCTAGAAATTTCCAGTAAGAAAGCTGACCTGGAATAAAATGTGAATTCAATCCCCAAAATGTCAACTACAAAAACTTCACTGTAACTTCAAGTTTAATGGTATGAAGTGATCTTCAAAGAGCCAACTATATATATATATATATATATATATATATATATAATTATAAAATGGATTAAGTCCAACAATTATTTAATATATTTCCATTTATACGTTATTTAAATAGATACAATTTATTTTAGCAATTGCTCTGTTTTTTAAATAAACAGTATTAATTACATTTATTGATGTGAATGTTTAATAAATTTCATAGAAAATATGTGTTCTCCGACAGGAATTGAACCTGTATTCATATATGGAATCGCCAATTGATCTTACGTCCTATACCACTCAGCTATAGAGAAATGTCTAATAATTGTGGGACTTAAATAATTTCATATGTTGTCAATGTTTACGTTATGGTATGTGTTGTGAGCAGCTATGATTCCTGTTGGAGAATGCATATTTTCTACAAAATTTCTCAAACGTTCAGGCTGTTAAGTGTACTTAATAGTGTTTATTTGAAAAACAGAGAATTTACTTAAAGGAATTGAATCTATTAAAATAATGTATAAACAGAAAATATATTAAATAATTGTTGGACTGAATCCATTTCATTATATATATATATATATATATATATATATATATATATATATATATATAGTTGTTTTTTGAGTTATTTGAAGATCATAGCATTAAACATGAATTCTTCAATTTCCTTCCAGGTTAATATTAAATGTTTCTTACCTGAGTCAGAGAGATTGCCTTTCACAGATAATACACCTGTGCTAGGGTCAATGGTAAACAAATCCGTCACCTCTGTGTCTTCTCCTGGATACAAGGAATATACAATTCTCCCATTGTCACCTTCATCCGAATCATGAGCCTTGATCTTTAAATAAAAAATACGATATTTATAAAAATTTATACTTTTTAAAAATTCTTTGATGAAAAAAAAAAAAAAAGGAAGGAATTTTATCCAGTAGAATTTTGGTTATTAGTTTAATGACATTTGTTGGACTTGAGGAATATCGGAAGAAGAAAAAGAAATTGTAGAGCAAACATGTTTACTTATAGAAGATTTTATAACCATGACATTGCAATAACTCATGTATAATCTCACCACAAATTTTCTTTTTACAACAAATAATATTGACCCTGTACGAGGCTCAAGAGTCACTCAAGGTAGAGGGCTACAGAGTAAGAGGTAAGGGGCACAGTTTATAAGGATATGTGGGGAAGATAACAGTTAACCTGAGACATGAACAGGTTAAGATTGTAATGATCCCGGAAGCAATCCTTTTGGGTGTTGGTTCTACAAATGGCAGTTCATGGGAAGAAGCTGTTCTTATATTTCACCAGTGAATATGAAGAGAATGAAAGTGATTTGCTACAATGTGTGGGTCTTAGCTGTGAATGTCAGAACTGGTGGAATTATGGAATCTAGTTTGTCTGAAGACTTTTCATGGAAATAGTGATAGAGTAGCAAAAAGGCTTGCAATGTTTTGTCTGTGGGGAAAGGGGTTGTAGGGTGGAAGATAATTCATCACCCACAAGGCCATGTAAACACTTTTGGAGTCTTTCAAGACTAGGCAGTAAAGAGTGTGTAGCTTCTGGCAGCAGTACTCCATTTTCAGCTTGATCTGGCTCTTGAGATAAAATAATCTGAACCTGTGGAAATTCCATGGGTATTAACAAATAAGGTTTTTAATTGTCTCATGCCTATGCTCTTCTATGCTACTTTACTTGTATATTTTCAGTGTCTTCTTTATCCATTCCAATATTCACTGTTCACTTATGTTTTTATCTTATTGCTTTACAAATATTGATTAGCTAAATGCATATGGGTTACAATCCTATTCATCAAATTCACTGCAAATAGTTTTTTATTCTGCTACACATTCTTTTTAATCCTTATTTTGCCTTATCTTTCTTTAAGGAATGTTAATGTAATGCAAATTTTATGCCTTTCTGTCCATACTTGCCTTTCAATACTCTACCCTGTGTCTCTTGATATCCAACCAGCAAGACTCTCTCTCTATATATATCTGCATTTCATCCTCATCTTTTCTCTCTATTTATTTATGTATATATGTATTTTTCCTTTCACCTGGTTTTCTTTTTGTTTTTATCTAGCTTTCTTACCAACCAGCTTTCCTCTTCTGCATCCTCCTTTATCTATTTCTCATCTCTTTCACTTTTCCTAATTCTTTCCTGCTTAATATTACTATATATGAGTGAGTGTTGAAAAGTTATTGTCCTGATTAATTTATCTCTAAAAAAAATAATGTGTTGGCTTGGAGGTTGGGAAGTGGATTGAGCTGAAAAATTTTCAGTAACATTTATATTTTGTTCAGAAAGGATAACTGATTCAGGCACAGGTACTACACTTTTATCTTTGATAGAAAAGCAACTGTCATAGATGCAAACAAGCAGAATTATAAATTTATGTAAACACTATGTCTATCACTATCACTTTTTTCATATCTATCTATCTATCTATCTATCTATCTATCTATCTATCTTAGTGTGTTCATTATCTATCTATCTATCTATCTATCTATTCATATCTATCCAACTAAAGCATTCAATATTCAACCAATGGCTCAATCCAACTAAAGAGATTCAATATATACTAACCAATGAAATTGATGCGAAATGTTTTACGTATCTATCTATCTATCTATCTATCTATCTATCTATCTATCCTGACTATTCTATCTATCTTATCCAATGAAATCTATTATCAAATGTAAATATTTGAAATCTGTTTTATCTATCTATCTATCTATCTATCTATCTATCTATCTCATCTATGTCTGTTCATCTATCTATCTATCTATCTATTCTTATCTATCTATCTATCTATCTATCTATCTATCTATGTCTGTTCTTATCTATCTATCTATCTATCTATGTTCTTATCTATCTATCTATCTATCTATCTATCTATCTATCTATCTATCTATCTTAGTGTGTTCATTATCTATCTATCTATCTATCTATCTATCTATCTATCTATCTATCTATCTATCTATCTCAGTCTGTTCATAATGGCTCAATCCAACTAAAGCATTCAATATATACTAACCAATGTAATTGATGTGGACGTAGTAGAGAGCATACCACCTGACTATTGTTAGAAAGTAAATATTTGAAATGTTTGGGTGCGCACTTTAGAGAGAAAAAAGTAGTAGCAGCAGCAGAACGGTTGGTGCTGCTAATTATAAAAAGGCTAACGGTGATCGTGTGATTATCAATCTTCATCTTCTCGTCAAAATATACTTTTGTGGTAATTGCTTCGATGAGCTGTTTTCGCTGGTTCCAAGACTTCGCGAATTCAAGCGTCCGACAAGGCTGGCATCCTGCTCTCACCCTTTCACTGTTGAAACTGTTAAATGAAGTCACCTCTTCTACTCCAATAGCTTCATGTCTCACACCTCTCGCACCTCTCGCCTGTGGAACTCCCTTCCCTATTCCAGTTTCCCTGATAGCTATAATCTCCAATTATTCAAATGTAATGTCAATCGGCATCTCCAGTTGCCTTGATCTATCCACTATCCTTCTCCTCATCTTTTCCTCTATCATTCCTACCTGCTCTCACTCCAAATCCTCTATAACCCCTTGTGTACTAGTGGCTTCCCGCCTTGCTGGGAGTGAAATGCTTAAAAAAAAAAAAAAAAGATATCTATCCGGCTGATGAGCTAATCCATATATCAACAACCCTATTAATTTTTGTGGATGGTATACTAGTAGTAATGATAAAAATATTTGATCAAAATTTTAGAATTTGATTATTGAACAACTAATACACATTTAGTTAACATAAAAAGAAGGTGCTCAAGCCATGAAAATTTGATGATAAATTACTTTTTTATTTGGTTTTTTTTTATTAGATTTGTTCAGTAAACAGGACTTCAGCTCCAGTTTTATGGAATTTAGGTTTTTTAAATAAATCTTTGTTTTTTTTTGCATTTATGGATTTTGGTTTAATTAAGAGTAACTTTAAACTCATGACATGATAAATCAAATGATGAAATATAAAAGTAATTTTTAAAATCATTTTTTTTTTACATATATGAATTTGTAGGCACTTTTTAGTGGCATGGTACACTTTAAATATGAAACAGGCTATATAACCTGAATTATTTAGGGACTGGAAGGCCATAAAATGTTGCATTTTCCTATGCCTGAACATTCTTTGTCATGGCATGATGTCTAAGATATGAAATACTTATTAACCACTTGGATCTGGGGCTTTTTGTTTTTCACATTTTTCACACCAAGGTGAATTAAAAAATTTAAAAAAATAAAAAATTTAATTAAAAATTAAATTAATTAAAAAATTAAGTTAATTTAAAAATTAAAAAATTAAAAAAAATTTAAAACTATATTGAAAAAATGTCTTTATTTCAGCTATGAGTTTCCATTATTCTCCATGCCAATGTGTAATATTATTTTCCTTGCTTTCATCACTAGCTACAGATTATCTTGAATCATTACCCAATTCACTACCAGAATAAAAGAAGACACAAGACAAAGAAACCTCTCCGGAATCTTCTCATCAGACAATCTAAAATATTTAAGAGTAATTTTTTCACATATTCAATAATATTTTCAGACAAGTTTTTTTTATATTTCACTTCATTTGGCAAACACAGACCACCCAGGGAATTACAAAATGTGTCTTATTGTCTTTTAGTGTTTGATTTCATTATGGGTGGATTTACTATTTAACTAAAATGCAAATAAAAAACACCCACATATACAAAATATCTAAAAGATTACCATGCTGACCTTACACTCTATTAAACACCTGCACTGCCCACAGAAGATAACAGTCAGCTAAGTGAATTACATTCAAAAATATTTCCACAGCCATCTAGCTAAATGTAATAACATTTCTTCAAAGTCAATTTTCTTAAATAGACGAAGGAAGTCCATTTTCATGCTCATAAAAGAAAGTCAACATTGAAATAAAATCTATAATGTTAGTAAAATCTCAATCATCACTATCCTGTCTTCATTTTTCTCATTTTTGTCATTATCAATTGCTGGTTAACAAGACAAACAGACTTTTTAAAAAAAATCAATTCACTTCAAATAAAGTGATAATACCACTAAGGCTACCGTGAAGGAAAGAAACTGGAAACCCAATCCTAAACAGGAAATGAGGGATAAACCACTACTCCTGTTCAAAAACTGAGGAGGAGTATGAATATATGCTGGTAACTGATAGTGAGTATCTGTGTCTCTTGTAATCAATTGAAAGTTATTTTGTCTTCTTTTGTCTTGTCTAGTCTAATAGCATCAGAAAAGTTATTTTGTCTTCTTTTTCAGAAGAAACAGGTGTCTTGTCTAGTCTAATATGCAAGCATTAAAAGGGTGAAGGCTTTAGAAAGAAAGAAACCCAATAAATGAAACAAGGGATAAACCACTCCTCCTGTTCAGAACCACGAATGATTTTAAGCATTAAAAACATAGACCTGAAGTAAGCTTTAGAAAGAACTGAAACCCAATCTTAAGGATAACCAATAACGAAAATTAAAAGCATAGACCTGAAGTAAGCCAAAAGAAAAATCAAACAAGAAACAGGGATAAACCCCTACTCCTGTTCAGAAGAGAGAACAGGAGTGTGAACCAGACAATACTGAATGATTTTAATAAAAGCATAGACCTGAAGTATTTTGGAAACCCATTAAAAAGAAACATATAACCCCTACTCCTGTTCAGAAGAGAGAACAGGAGTGTGAACCAGACAATAACGAATGATTTTAAGCATTAAAAGCATAGACCTGAAGTAAGCTTTAGAAAGAACTGGAAACCCAATCTTAAACAAGAAACAAGGGATAAACCCTACTCCTGTTCAGAACCAGACAATAACGAATGATTTTAAGCAAATAGACCTGAAGTAAGAAACAAAAGAACTGGAAACCAATAAACAAGAAACAAGGGATAAACCCCTCCCTGTTCAGAACCAGACAATAACGAATGATTTTAAAAGCATTAAAAGCATAGACCTGAAGTAAAACAAGGGATTTAGAAAGAAATAACTGATTTTAAACCCAATCTTTAAACAAGAAACAAGGGATAAAAACCACTCCTTCAGAACCAAAAAACTGAAGATTAAAAGCATAGACCTGAAGTAAGCTTTGAACTGGAAACCCAATCTTAAACAAGAAACAAGGGGATAAACCACCCTCCTGTTCAAAAACTGAAGATAGTGTGAATATCTGTGTCTCTATCCGTGTCTCTTGCAATCAACTGAAAGTTATTTTGTCTTTATTTGTCTCGTCTAGTCTAATAGAATCATGGTGGGATGAAGTTTAAAAGTTAATTTTGCAAAGCATTTAAAGAGATATGAAATATTTCTAGAAATCCAGATGTGCATAAATAAATGTATCATTTATGCAAGTTTCGTTCAAATTCTCCTCAGAAACAAGAAAAATGGCCCAAACTACAAAAAGATTTTAAAAAAATTCTTAAACAAAGAATTTTTATTGGCCCTAAAAAACTTTCAAAAAAAAGAAACAAAAGAAATAAAATGTTGCCCAAATACACACAATTAGATTTTTTATGAATGAATGTTTGTACTTTTTTATATGATTTAGTTTCTTTATCGAAATACACTTTCACCTGCAACAAAACTGGGTAAGACGATAAACTACGTCCAGCAGCTAGGCCTCTGATCAGGAAGTTTTGAGGAGTATGGAACCACCTATTATTTGCTGGAGTTCCCAGGTCCACCCTGACCTGGGGTGGTAGCACCTGTTAGGGTCCCAAATAGTTAACCCCAAACACTGTGAAAACGTAAAAATAGGTTTTAATATCAGCAATACATTTTTGTAAAAAATTATTACCAGCAACAAATTTTTGAAGAAAAATTTATTACCAGCAATACATTTTTGGAAAAATGAAATATATTAGCAGCAATACATTTTTCAAAAAAAAATTATTACTAGCAATAAAAATCTTGTCGACATTAAATAACCCATTGAGGTTGATATGCCATAAACCTATAAACCAAACCAAACCAAACCAAAACAATGAGACTCTGAATCATCAGTTGTTGACCAGCGGTAGGTGTTTTCTGATCTTGCAAACTGTTGGCAGTGATTCACACTTATTATAAGTCACTCCAATACAAAACTGACAGATGTGCCCATATATGTGCTAATTTTCTAAAAAAAATACAGGTGATTAAAAAGTAACTCCCTATTTTATGTATGATGGACTCTCCCGTCTAACTATCAATTTTATAAGATGGGAGATTCCATCATACATAAAATAGGGAGTTACTTTTTAATCACCCTGTAGATATGAAATTTGCATGGAAAACATACCTGTATAATTTCTGAACCTTCTGTTGCATTAGCGTAAATGCAAGCCTTATAGTCATGCATCGTAAACTGAGGTAGGTTGTCGTTCTGATCTGTGATGCGTACGTGCACCGTAGTGAAGCCCATCCTTCCTCCGTTATCTTGTGCTGCGACAGGGATGTAATAATCGGACACCTTTTCACGGTCGAATTGAATTAAGGAGAATATCTCACCTGAGTAGAAAGAAAATAAAAATGATTTAAATTATTGGAAAATTAAAAAATATAAATGGTTGAAAATAAAATGTTTACCAAAGTCATCCCATAGCAATTAATGCTAGCAATTTACAGAACCTATTGAGTTCAAATTAAATGACAGTCTAAAATTGCTCAAGAAAGCAGTAACCAGGCCTGATGAATGCGTCTAGCATGAAACAGGCTGTCGCCTCTGAGTGTTGACTTCAATGTTCACTTTTATATTTACATACGCTCTATCTCTGATATTGGGCACTTTATCCTATAAATATAGCACATCTTAAGGCTATACTTCTTCATATATATATATATATATATATATATATATATATATATATATATATATATATAGAAAAAATTAGGAAATCAGAGGAAGTAAATCATGCCCCTTACGAAATAACTTTGTGTATATATATATATATATATATATATATATATATATATATATATATATATATACATATATATCATAAATCTTTTCCTTTCAAGTCTTGTTAGCAAAGTGACCTCGCCATTAATTACATTAACATTGCTAATTAATTCATTGTATAATTACTTCTTTATGATATAATATATATACTGCACAATTTAATATATATATCGACTGCGTCTAGCATGAAACAGACTGTCGCCTATAAGTGTTATATTGTAGGTTTTTGCACTTACCCGTGTCAGCATCAATACGGAAATATTTCAAGGCAACTTGGCTTGTTATTGAATAATTAAGCATACTGTAATATCCAGTATCCTTGTCCATAGCTGTTACTGTGCCGACCAACATTTCTACGGCATAATTCTCTTGGAACCGATACTCATAGACGTCTGACGTGAATACAGGTGGGTAATGGTTGCTACTACGTACACTTACACGCACTCGCGTGTAACTAGTAAACACTCCGTCATTGACAGATATATTCAAATTGTAAAAAGGCTGCAAACTTGGTTGACGATTGTGAGAGAGACTAAGAACACCGGTCTCTGGGTGGATTTGGAATGTTTGTCTGTTGTTACCGCCCGCAATAGCATACACCAAAGAATTCTCACTGAAACTGTCCTTGTCTGAAGCAAGCAGCTTTGTGACAAACTGACCCCTGCTTGCCTGATCGGAGATGACCACATCATAGTAATACTGCGGGAATTGCGGGGCGTTGTCGTTCAAATCGAGTACATTGATACTGACTAAAACAGAAGAGCTGAGCGGTGGTATGCCGCTGTCAGTGCCAACTGCCGCAACGTAGTAAACAGGTTTCACCTCGTGATCAAGCAAGAGTTTGGTCTGAATCACACCTGTCTTGGGATCAATCTGGAAATATTTTCTGTCGTCATCTTTGCCTTCTGCTGGAGCTAACTTGTAGTGGATCATCTGATTGACCCCAATGTCATCGTCTTTTGCTTCAACTTTGGTCACAGAGGAACCAACTAAAATTGCCTCTGAAACTGACACAATGTATTTTTCACTCAGAAAATTTGGTCGGCAGTCATTGATATCCTGAAAGAGAGAAAGTGGGAAAAAAATAAAACTCAGTGATTTTCAAAAAGTATTATTAATTTCAAAATAGTTTATCTTTGGCAACAGTAAAGTGGCGATAAAAGCATTTGAAAAAAAAAATGAAAGGAAGTACTAGAGAAAATTTATAATCGTTGACAGTGTCTCATTTAATAAAATTAAGAAGAAAGTAAATACTAATGAAAAATTAATAATAATGGTTGACAATGCTTCATCAAATAAGAATGAAGATGAATGTAAATACGTCAAAAATTAATAATAATGGTTGACGATATTTCATAATAAAAACTGAAACAAAAATAATACCATTGCTGTAAATGCTACTAGTGTAGAAACAGATATAGCTCTGATAAAGACTGTGAAATGCAATGGTGGGTTATCGGTTAGATTTGTGTTTTATCAAAGCAGTTAAGAGAGCTGGTGTGTGCAACTATGGATTAATTGCGAGAATTTAGATTGGTGGTGGTGGGGGGGTCCACGTTTGCTAGGGGCCTCCGAATATCGTTTTAGGGGACACGAATTGTCCTGTGGTCTTTACTAGAAGTTTTAATTTTTGAGTTAATAAGAGCCATGGTATCAACACATTAATCATGGAAGAAATGTCCGCCAGAAAACTGCAATTGTAAAAATTCCCTTCACTCGCAGTTTCAGAGTTAACATGAAACTTTCAATTTATGAAAAGTTACCTGATATTATCAAGCAGAAAAAAAAGAAAGAAACAAATATAAACTTAGATGCTTAGTTGTGAAGATTAACTTTGGAGAAAGCAGTTTGTCTAAATGATTAGTCAGTGTATCCTTGCATTCAACATTCAAATAAATGAAATGATTTCATTTTTATGTCGCTTGAGCTATTTTGAACGAATTATTCATCATAAGTCTAGACGTACACCTATACACATTATACAAACTATCTATGCGTTTACTTGTAAAATCAGTTTCGCTAAGATAGCGTAAACATAAACTTGTGTGAAAAGAACATAATTAGATGTGAGTAATTCGAAAGTGATCTTGAATGGACTATTTCCTGATGAAAATTAACAGTGCAGTTGTAAGAAATAAAAAAAAAATATGAAAATTCTATCATCTGTTAATATCCCATAAGTTCTGACGTTTGGGGAGTTCTTATGAATGATTACAAGGTTAGTGGGTAATAAGGTAAATAAGTCACACTATCGTTAAGATATTCTTTTGGTGGGGGAATACAAACTCTAGATATATACCTACATTAGTGCTTCTCAAACTATCTCATATGGGGCACCGTCATTTTTTTTCTTCAATGTGTCACGTACCTGTAATATTTCGTGTTAATTTATACCGTAAACGATATATATTCACCTAAATTCACAATTTTATAATTATATTGTAGCTAAATAATCTATTTCGAAAAATACCAAATTAAATAACTTATTTCAGACAGCACCAAATATTTTAAGTTTCAGTAAAAGTTGTACCAACTGTACCAAAACCTTCATTTGAAAGTAAAAAGTACCAATTTGGTACGAAAGTACAAATTCTGACGGTCCTGGCTCTGGTGGTGTACCGTTTGGCTCGCATCTACCAATTCTTCAAATGATTCCTTAGACACTGGACTGGACACTGGCCGCGTACCGGTAGCTGATGGTTCGTGTACCGGCATCGGTCCGTGGACCATCACTTTGAGTAGCACTGCCCTATATGTAAGCCACTAGTGGCCCGCTGGCAGGCCGCCGGTAGCAACGCCAGCGGTCCTCTGGTGACAGCTACCGGCGGGCTATCGGTGGGCCTCGAGCGGTCCACCATTGGTAACATTGCCAAGAGGAATACGCCAGCGCCCCGATAGCGGACCACCAGTGGTATGCCACCCAGTGGCAGATTGGTGGCTTGCGTGTAGAGTAGGTATGAACAAGCGAAATAAAGTCTATCTTAGTCTGACACAGCGTTTCATTGTGGGATTTTCAAGTGCATGTTAACTTTGAAATAGCAAGTCACTCTCTGAAATTTTACGTAAGCAATAATGTTTTGGACAGTTTTTCTATCACCCCCAGTAAAGGTGTTTTTTTTTTGTTTTTTTTTTAATTTTAAGGAATAAAGCATAATGATGTCAAAGATGGGAATGTTCTGGATAATTCTTACCAATAAGTTAATGGAGACCGATGTTTCCATAAATGTTCCGGTAATGACGTCAGCCGCTTGGATGGTCAGATTGTAACGACTGATCTTTTCATAGTCAAGAGTGTCAACCACAGAAAGTATACCTGTAATAATAATAATAATAATAATAATAGAAATTGGATGAGTTGAATATCGGAGGAAGAATTGAAACTGTCCAGATTACTGTGGTGCTTTGGTCAGCGATGATACTGAGGAGGGTGCTAGAGATTTTAGAAAACTTGCTGTCCTTCCATTTTTAGTGATAACCACCAGACAGGTGTGAACATGCAAATGTATGAGATGATGATAATGATGATGATGATTAATGAGGAAGAGGAAATAATTTCACCTTGCCTGATAAAAAAACGGAAAAAAAAATTAATAGAAGTTTATCAACTTTAGTTTTATACCCGTTATTTTTCAAATACAATAGGTAACTCCGATAAACATGTTGGAAGGTAATCGCACTTCTCGCTTGTGGAACTCCCTTCCGGCTCCATACTTTCCACCCAACTTTAATCTACACAAGTTTAAATGCAATGTCAATCTCGATTACTCATTTCTTTTCCCGCTGATTAATAATGTTTCTGTTTCTAATTCTTCCACACTTGGTAACTCCTTGTGTCTTAGTGGCTTTACTACTTTACATGGGGTGAAACCGATTAAAAAGATCAATATTTAATTAATAATAAAAAAGAATCACACGTTTTTGTCTGAGTTGGATATCGTTTAAAAATGTCAAACAGGCATGTTTGGTTAAGTTGAATAATTTAACAGTATATCAACCGCATAATACCGAATATAAGTTCTATAGGACAAATTTAGAATGGTATATATAAGCCTAGTTTATATTACATTAAAAAATGTAGACCCTGTTTACATAATAGTTTTACAAAAACATACATTAGGTGGATTTACACTAGGATCTGAAAACAACCACTCTGAAGGTGGCTCTGAGGGATTTTTTCGCTTCTGCAGGGAGTGCAGTACCTATGCAACTAAGAAAAGGGTCGTTCGCATTGATTTGATGATTCCAACTACGGTTAACATCATTAAAAGATCATCATATAAATATGTATTCGAATAAGAAATATTACTAATTATAAGAATTGTGACGACCCTGGAAATGGCTCTGGAGTTAAATTTAATGGTGGGCCTAATTCTTAATAAACTTGCCTGAAAATGTCACGATAACGAAAGCTCTACTCGGTAAAATATGGGATTCTAGGCTTGTAGACGTAGACAACAATACTTTGACTAACGATTTCATTTGTATATAAAAACGTTAGGTAAAATGTTTGAAAGCATAAAGTATTCTTTGATGGTAACTTGTCTTAAAAAAACCTTTTTAATAGCCCGTTTATTTCTAATCTTGTGTTGGGTGTAAACATATCTCTTCTTCTGAAGTGGGAATTTCTAAATTTTGTTCTCATATTTTTAATCATAATTTTATGTTCTTCGGTTTTTCTTAGGGGTATATATCATTTCGATCAACATTAAATGCTATCATGATCCTTTTTTTAAAAAAAATCTTTTGAGACTTTTCACTTAAAAGAGGTCATAAATTCGATCGTCAAAAATCGCCCTGAAAAGGTGGCGAGATCAAACATAAAAGAACTGGACGATGCACCAAAATACAAGAAGCATTTGAAAAATGCCAAAGAACGCATATGAGTTGGACGTTGTGCTTAATGAAAAGTAGTCCCGATTATTTATGAAATAATGCTTAATATCATTAAAAATTATTCAGACTATTGAACACTTCCTTTTGGTCGTTGATGTTTTTGTATCTGTCTATATTTCTGAGATGAGGCATTATGATTAATTGCATTATTTACATTATTCGGACTGTTATCCTCATCTTCATTGGCCATATTCACATTGTTTTAGTCTCTATATCTCTGAATTGAGGCATTATGATTAATTGCATTATTTACATTATTCGGACTGTTATCCTCAACTTCGTTGCTATGTTCACAACGTTTCGGCCGTTGTACGTTCCAGCCTTCTTCAGGTGATTGGAATTTCGAACTGAACCCTTTATTTCGCCTACCGGAGTAGATTGTTCAAGTTCCATGTGCCATGCCTCTTTCGGATGTCTCAGTTATGTTCTTTTAACTCAACTCTCCAAGTTTTGGTTCAGCACTGCTTTGGCCAGGTATTGAACTCACAACTAGTCACTGGATCTAACAAACGTCTTTAACCTTGAGGACACATGACCCAGTGGTGATTCAAAATTCCAATCACTTGAAGAAAGCCAGAGTGTACAACGGCCGAAACGTTGTGAACATGACAATGAAGATGAGGATAACAGTCCGAATAATGTAAATAATGCAAGTGATGTTTTTGTAGTTGCTAATAGTAGAAACAATTTTAGAAATTATAACAACTTTTCTAAATTGTAGGTGGTACTCCTTGAAAATAAAACTGACCAATTTCAGTGAAGATAAAACGTTCTTTACTTGAAAAGAATAAATTGGCTGGATTGATGTGAGCAGAATGAAGCAGATAAGAACACAGTAAGGTGAAAAAGAATACAGTGAGAGAGACAAATGTAAATGGATGAACGATTGTATAGATATTAATCAAGATCAACAGATTGAGAGAAAGCGACAGGGAGAGAGGGGTGAGAGAGAGAGAGATAGAGAGAGAGGGGTGATAGAGAGAGAGAGAGGGGGATAGAGAGATAACGGGAGAAGAAAAAAGGAGGTAGACACGAAGAAAATAAGAAGTGAGTAGATACATAGACATAATAATCAAAATATTTCTGTTTATTATTTATATTATTTACGTGCGTATTATAGTCTTTACCATTGCTGTCATCATCACAACATTTCGGTCATTGTGCCCACCACCGGCCTTCATCGGGTGCTTGTCGATCCGGGTAACCTTCAAGGAATTTCGTACTGAACACTTTATTTAATTTAGGGAGGTAGATTGTTCTCGTTCCGATGACCAGTTATCTAGGGTTATCTTGTCTAGTTCTTATTTAGTGTTACTCAGTTATAGCTCATCTCATTTTCACTGAGTTACCAGCCCAGGGATAGAACTCAAAATTGCTATGTCGCTAACGCTTTAATCTACTAGGATTCTATCGTGGAACAATCCCGAGTGAAGAACTTGGATCCTTAAACCTAACCTGTCTGCTGATGAATGCTGCTGTTACTTGTCATGCTTGACTGCACTCACGGAAACTTTTTCTACTGCAGCAGCAGATGCTGTTGAAGGTTTGCTGTCATTTCTTTCTTTCTTTCTTTCTTTCTTTCTTTCTTTCTTTCTTTCTTTCTTTCTTTCTTTCCGGATCCCATATCGGGTTTATTACTATGCTAGGCTTAAAATGGCCTAGCATATGTACCGATTATTCCAGAAATCTGACTCTCCAGTGTTCTCTGTCTGATTTTCTTATTATTATTAATAAGAACTAGATGAGATGTCCCTAGACATGATTAGTGGAATGAGGACAATCTATCTCCGTAGGTCAAATAAAGGGTAAAGTTTGAAATGTCCTGAAAATTACCCGGATCAACAAACACTTAATGAAGGCCGGAGGTCACAACAACCGAAACGTTGGGATAATAACAATAAAGATGGGGGCAATAGTTGGCATGTAAATAATATAAATAATAACAACTCATTCAAGAAATTCAAATAGAAATTCCTGGTCACGCGGCACCAAAAATCTGAGCGTGCATTGTTAGTAAGTATCTAAAATATTCATTGTTAATAGGGAAAGGCACAGTAACAAGAAGCTATGTTAACAATCGATAATCTCGTGGAAGCATATGATTGCAAGAAAAGATTACCACACTCACGTTACTCATTTTGTTGTGTTTACCGCCAGATTCGACCTCTTTACATATTCTTAGTAAACAATAGAAATCATGTATACACTGATTTTTCTATCCTGTTTTACTCATTTGTCCTCACTTGTTTATCCATATCTCTTTCTCACTCTCTCTATATATCACCTTCTTTACAGTTTCCTTCTTCGTTCCTCTCCGTTTCCTCGTCTCTCTCTTTAGACATCTTTATTTCTCTGTTTTTATTTTATTTTCTCTCTCTCTCTCCCTCCATCGTTCAAACTCCCTCTTCTCTAATTTTCTTTCTCCATTTTCTTATCTCTTTCTGTCACTATTTTATATTTCTCTTTACACTTTTTCTTTCCTAGCATACTTTTATCAATATTTCCATATCTTCTTTTTCTTTTCTTTCTCATACACATTCCACTAATAATCTCATAATTAACGATCAAAACAAAACAACTGCAGAAGCACATAAATCACCAATAGCACAAAAAGCCCGCCAAATTCTAGTTAAAAGTCTGACGAAAATCATACTTTTTCCATGCTTCGTTATGTTAAGAGTAAAAGCCATTAAAATTAAATCTAAATATCATGCAAATATTTCGTAATGAATTAACAAAATTTATTTTATTTCAAACGAACATGCAGAAGGAATTATTTCCACGTCATTGGCAAATAAAGACAAGTTTCTTTAGTAAATTCTTCCTTGTATCTTTCTCTATCATTACAAATAACAGGAATGTACTGTTTTAACTTTGCCATTTTAAAAGTAAAATAAGAAGAGAGATTCGGCAAGCCAAAATAGAATGCATTTTGAAGCAATAAGTCAAGAAACTATTCTATTATTTCTAAGAATGGAGCAGGTAGATCCAAGAGCAATTAGCAAGGTACAGAACCTGAATAAAAAAAAATGGAAAGCAAACAGAGAAATGGATAGGAAAAAAATAATCAGTGGACAATGTAAATTAAATGTGATACAGAAAAATGCAAGAAGGGACAATATGGAGAAAAAGAAAAATGATACATACCTAGTGTAATATAAGGTAGAAAAACAATGGTAAAGACAGAATACTAAATAACAGATACAGGAAGCAAGATGGAGAAAGCAGACGATGAAATGGAAGTCGAAGATAACAATATAGAATATATGAGAGTACAAAAGAGTAGACGTGGAAAGAAAGATGTCGTCAGAGGAAAGAAATCCTGCTAGTCGCCGGAAAAAGCGAAAACAGGCTATACAATAAACAAAATGGAAGAAGCAGGAAACAGTGAGAAAGAAACAGGTGAGAAAGAAAAACCAAAATTGTCAAAAACAACAAATAAAATAATGGACGTAAGAACCAAATTTTGGATACAAGAAACAAAATGAAGACATGATAAAATGCTGGACGAAATCGTGAAAAAAGCTCACCCTCTTCCAAACCAGTAAATATGAAAGCAAAGAATGGATAAATGTATAGAAGAATACAAAAAAAAAAAAAAAAAAAAAAAAAAAAGGAGTAAAAACAAACAGTGATGGACAATGCTCAGATATTCGTGAACGAAATGAGAAAAAAAATGATAGGTGATATAGAGTTACGTCGGTAAATAGAACAAACACTGTAACAAGTTGCAGCTTCCGTGAAAGTAAATCTTTTGATGAACGTTGTGTAAAAAAGAAAAGACAAAAAATAAAGAAAAAGAAATTAGCAGCCATGCTAAGCAAATAGTGTTATTTAAATAAATACTTACTTGATTGATATACACAAACTGCCTGTCTACCTGTCAATCAATTTCTCTGTCTGGACGTAAGTATTCAAATGAGTTCGTACAGTTATGAAGATGAGCTCTTTATAAGTATGGATGTATCTACATAATGTGTATATGTACATGCATATAGAAACAGATATTATATATATATATATATATATATATATATATATATATATAAATGAAAAAGAGAAAGAATCAAATATAAATTCAAACGTTCACAACATTAATTTAAAATAGGGCTCAATACAATAGTAGGTCAGTATTCTATATTATATTCTATATTATATTCTATATTATATTCTATATTATATTCGAACAGATGTAAGACCGCTACATAAATGCATTCATGTTTCAATGCATATAATCGCATCTCATCAGGCGGTATATATTATATAATGTACATCAGTATATATATATATATATATATATATATATATATATATAGTCCAGATACATACATACAATTTCAGAAAGAAAGGTGAAACTAGCCTTAGCGATAAGCCAGCTTTTGCTGTGAATAAGGATATGGTCAAACAAGCTGCTAATCTAATTACAATTGGCATAACAATCACCATTACATAATTCTTCTAAAGTCTTCTGATCCATGGTAATATCAGCAGTTGAGTGTAATCTTTGGGCTGTCGAAAGTTTTGTACAATATGGATTCTTAAATTGCTGACATATTCCAGTAGTTCATATATACCTTTATTCTTTCAATTAGCATCAGCATGTTTTAAAGAACGTATCTTTCCTTGAGGAAAGCTACAAGGTACAGCGGTCGAAACGCTTTGATTACAACAATGATATGATGGTCCTAAAAATGTGCGTATATATATATATATATATATATATATATATATATATATATGAATGTATCTACATAATGCGTGTATATATATATATATATATATATATATATATATATATATATATATATATATATATATAGATTTAATGTCCCAAAATGGCAGTCCAAAATGGTTTCAGATTAAAAGTCCAAAAAGATAATGATTAAAAGACTTAACATAGGAGCAAGAAAAATTAATTCCTTTAAATAATATGTGAAAATAACTATTCGTCTCCATATGAAGATTAAAGGTCTGAAATATATATATGTATATATATATATATATATATGATTTCTATAAATTATATTTATATATATATATGATTTCTATAAATTATATATATATATATATATGATTTCTATAAATTATATATATATATATGATTTCTATAAATTATATATATATATATATATATATATATATATATATATATATATATATATATATGAAATAAGAATCAGGAGGCTTTATTTATCTGTTTCAATTATTATTTATTTCGTGAACACCGAGGTGTTCAACTTTTCAGACCGAAATATCCTCTGTAAAGGTATATATATATATATATATATATATATATATATATATATATGTGTGTGTGTGTGTGCATCATTTAGAGAAATCCTGTAGGTTATAGATCATTTTCTTAATGATACCACTTTGGTGAGTGTAGTAATTTCATTTGCTAATGACAGACAAAATGATAGACAAACAGACAGACAAAAGCTGGAAGAAAGCTTAAAATACTGGTTTTTATTTATATTTTTAACTTGTTAAATATTTGGTCAATGATTGAAAATTTCCAAATTGCAAAAAGATTTTCCGAATTTTCTCCCTCGTGCAATAAATAGTAAATAACGGTGTAGATCTAAGCGAAAATCAATATTAAGAAATAAGTTTATAAATTTCATAAAAACCGAAAAACGAATCATTTGCTTTTAACAAACACACACAAATCATATTTGCGAGAAATTAACTTTATTTGGTCTGACCCATTTTAAATAAACATTTCTGATGAATATCCGAACTTGATTTTCAGTTTAATTTCAATTAAAATCTTAAAATATTTTATGATATTTTTTGTTTTTTGCAATATGGTAAATTTTCAACATTGACAATGTCCTTTCTGCGATCGAGAACCACAAACATGGTCACATGCACATAGAGGAGGATGTTGGATACTTACATGGCCCTAGAACATTCATGTCTGTGGAGTGGAAAGAGAGACAGACCAAATGAGGTTAATAATAGAACATAACAACTGAGCTAAGGTTTTCATAAGATTAGTTCATAAAAAGTCTATTCCAGATCATAAATACCAAACATCAACTAAAAAGCTCATCACTAATATAATCTCTGAGAGTATCACCCTTGTTGGTTGACCCATTAGGGTAATAACCCCATGGACCACAAAAACTTGATATTCGCCCAAGGATGCAGTTTTATATTTACTTACTAAACATTGTTATACATAGTAGTTATAAAGGAATATGTCTACGTATATTTTACTTACAAGGTATTTATTTTAGGTGTATGCAATCCTTATTATATGATATCCAGTTTTATTATTTTACTCATTAGAATGTTTGGTAAGGATTATAATCATATACATTGTTCATTAAAAATATCTTTCTTTGTATTTGATCGCTAATTTATAACTGACTGAATCCAGTATTGTTTTAACTATTAATCAAAAACCTTACTTTGATGTTTAATGATACATTATTCCATATAATTTTAGTTTTAGGCGAATGTCTTTTTTGACTGCTTTGTAATCACAGTGTTTTAAGTTAATTTACATTGAAGAAACTCTGAATAAAGTACCAGCTTATGACTATTTTGAACTCGCATTTCATACTACGGGAGCCCGCAATGTCCTAACGATTTTGGACATCGGTCTTCTTATACCAAAATGCCTTATTTCAACTTCCTCAACATCTGATATCTGCTAATAATTAATAATAAGGTGTGTATGGAATGATAATTAATAATAAGGTGTGTATGGGGTATATCGTCAGTGATAGTACCTTTGTAGCGAAGCGTTCGACCCTGCTTTCCTCAGCTGAAAGCGATGCGGAACAGTAATGGTCTACGGCCTACATCCAACTCTCACACATGCCTCCAAGAAATGAATGATAATGATAAATGAATAAATAAGATTTTGTTTGGGATTCAAAGATAAGATATTCTTCCTTAATCCACATATATTGGGTTTTTTAAAAATCAAAATGCTTTTTTAAAATTCGGTTGTGATAATTCGAAATAAAAATAGATCAACTTCTGACTTTTGCCCCGACACTGAAATAGTTACGTATTTTATGCTGGTCAATGTTGGAGTCCTGGTAAAATGCCAGGATTTTGATTTTTAAAGCCAGGTAGGCCCTTCTAAGTTAGAAGAGCCATACAACACAATCTTATTTATCACATTCAACACTATTTGATCTCGTCTTAAGTTAAGGTTAATTTATATCAAGAATAGATCGGCGTAAAACAGTGTAAAAAAAGCAACAAAAAGATAAAGATACCCATACAGAATGTTGTCACAGAAAGAAGAGGGTTTTATTTCAGAATCTTAACAACTGAAAATAGTCTACGGTAGAATCACATTCGAATTACATTTTGGCAGATTGTTCTTATAAAGAAAGAAAAGAAACACTGTATGTACTCGCATAACATGCGACTTTTGAAAACCCAATTTTGAAGCTAATTTTAAGAGGGTCGCATCATACACGAGATATAAAATTAGCATATGTACTGCCGGCCCTGGCTACGCCGTTGACCAAACTATATACCCATTTGCTGTAGTCAAATCTACAGTTGTATTTAAAGCAAACACCGCTCGTTACACGAGTACTTTTTTCTTGCTTGTTGCATAAGGCGACATTGAAAAAGTCTCAACCCAACCAATTCTGATATTTAATCATTTTGTCAGATCTTAGAAAGTAGGTACTAAAAAAAAAACAATTATAAATAGCCATTAGTCAGTTTCCCTCCATTAACAACAGTGCATTCAAACAATACGCACCAATTCACTTTGAGTTATTTTCTATGAAATGAACTTTTCAATGTCGTCTATACACAGCTGTGTACAAGAAACCAAATTAAAGCGAATATTGTCCTTTGCTAACAGCTGTTGGGAAACCCAGAATCAGTTTTATCGATTGAACAAACTTCGATCACTTTCAAGTTTATGTGGTTTTGATTAGTGCTTTCTTTCGCTGGCAGCTAGCAAAAATTCACGTTGAAGGTTTCTTGAAAGCTTCACTACGAAAGTGATTCATATCATAGAAATAGAATTTAAACGATTGGTTATTTTTATATGAAAGTGTAATGTGGTAATTAAAAAGATTGTTTTACTGTAGCATTCGTTCATTTTTTTAATACTTATAAAGTTGACTTTACATGAAATTAACATTGTGAGACTATCTGAAGTCAGATTTTTTTTTATCGCCATGCTTCTTCATGGCTCTTCGCAGATACCTTTTCTTTATTATCTATGAATTACCATGAGTTCTCGGTAACGATAGGGGAATGATTTATCATTACTATCTCTATTCAGAGTAGTCATTCTCCTACCTAAAGCGTCCTGGGTAAGATGATAAACTACATCCAACAGCAAGGCCTCTGATCAGGAGGTTTTGAAGAGCGTAGAACTACCTTTTAAATGCTGGGTGTGCCTAGGTCCACCCTGACCCGGAGTGGTAGGAACTGTTAGAAGTCCAAGCTATGGGCAAATAGTTGACCCTAAAACTGGTGTCAAAACACTATGAAAGTGTAAAAATAGTTTTTAATACCAGTAATACATTTTTGTAAAAGGTTATTAACAGCAATGAATTTTTGAAGAAAAAAATATTACCAGTAATACATTTTTGGAAAAAAAATATTGCCAGCAATAAAAATCTGGTCGGCATTAAATAACCCATAGACGTTGATATGCCATAAAACAAACCAAGCCAAATCATATTCAAAACCAGTGAGCCTATTCTACCCTGCTATTTAATCCATAGTTGAAAGAAGAAGAAATGGATTAATTCCATTCCCAATAACATTTGTACGAAAGTGAATATAACAGATTAGGCGAGAATTTGAACTCGGGTCACCGATTTCGCAGTCTGCGCCGGTAGCTGCCGCACTACCACCTACATCCCATCCAAATTTCGTTTATGGTTCAAATGACATCAGATCGGATGTCCTTCTACATTAACGGTTATATAAAAACACAGATCCCTCCTGATAAACTTCAGAGAATACGTAGGCAGAAATACATTCTTGCTCTACTCGTCTGACCTCGAATTCAAAGGATCGGCATGAAACAAGTTTCTCTGAGGCATGTCTGTCTGTCCGCCAACCCTTCATTAATATCTTGTTACAATGTGATACTATAAACAAGAAATTTGTCTAAGCCAGGGCGTTCCAAGATTTTTGCAACAATTTTTTATGCAACAAAAAGTACTTTAAAAAATTTGTTAACCAAATAACTTTGGTTTCCAGGGTCGGTTCAAATAATATTAAGGCAAGCTCCAAGAGGTGTCCCTCCAGGCAATACGTCTCATTCGGGAGGAGGCTACGTTAATTGCTCGGCGACTGGGTCGCCCCCAAAATGGAGGTACCGAGGGGGCTTGGACAATTTTTAAACTGTATTGCCGTTAAACTCATTTTAAACCTCAACTATTTGTCACATCCGGTAGCGACGGACGTGGGCGCTTTGGTAAATACCCTAAATGTATAATTCAAATTGTATATAGAAAAATAAGAACTAATTTAGTTAATAATTAAAGAAAGAATGGGTAATTAATTCTAATAAAATGTCGCGACACATCAGTTTTGAAAACTCCGGTCTAAGCTGAGTAATTTTGCAATGGTTCCTCTGTTATAACATTTCATCAGCGTTTTACAAGCGCAGTGTTTTGGAAATGTGACTTGGGGTTTATATTGTGTTTTTATTCCATAGTTTACAGATCATCGATGCATAAGAAAAAATCGAACATTGTTTCTGGGACTGTATCAAAGAGATGGGGACTCTAAAACAGTAGTAGTAGCAGTTGAAGTTTGGAACCACGAGAAAGAGTGAGGCTAGACATTGCAGCAGCGGTCGGTCTTCGAGTTCTGCTAGAAGACAAGGCTAACGCAACGTCAGGAGAAGACTCGCAGTGAATATAGCGAAGGAGAAGACTTCAGTTTCTGTCAGATAGCACATATATAGACACTTCTACAGATTTTTTTTCTTCTTCGTGTCATGTCCCGTCAGGGTGTTGGCGATCATGGTTCTCCACAACTTCCTATCCTTTTTAACTCTTAACAGAGTTTGGCTTTTTACTACCCCCCCGCTATTGGCTATACCAGTTATTTACACAAGCACGTTAAATTACTCGATGTTGCCTTTTAATATGTTTTGTGACTATCAAATTTTCCGAGCCCCCTTTCTTTATTATGTGTCCTAGTAGCTTTGACTTTCTAATTCGAAATATAAGTATCCTTTTTTGTTTTCATTTTTCTTAAGGCTTCCTCGTTGCTTGGACGCTCCGTCCATGGTATTCTCAGCATTCTCCTGTAGAACCACATATATGTTGCCTATAGTTTCCTCTTCATCTGTGAGGAAATTGTTCCGCATATACTGCCACTGAGTAGGATACAACCATTACATAACAGTTCAACACTCTACCCCGTTCTCACTATATGTTGCCCTTTTAGCCAAGATTAATGAAAAAGGTACGGACAACTGTCTTTTTTTACTTTACACCTAGATTATTTGTTGTGCTCCCATTCAAACTAATGAACTTTACCTTTTCGTTAACACAAAAGGTTAATTTATGCAACGTAACACTAAGCTACCTTTTTATTTTATTTTCTTTAGCTGGGAAAACAAACTACTGCATGAGAAACAAACAAACAGGCGCATTCTTACCTGTATTGAAGTCAACTGTAAACTCATTGAAAATGTCACCATTTGTAATGGAGTAAACCAGTTTTTGACCGTTGGGGCTGAGAGCTTGAAGGCTCAGAATCGGAGTGTGTAACTCAATGTTTTCTGGTATAGTGACATTGTAGAATTGTTTCTCAAAAAGTGGTGTGGCTTTGGTTATCACTTTTATTGGAACTTTGCTACGTGCAAACAGCATAGGTTCGCCTGCAAAAAAGAGAAATAAAAAATTTTAAGTGAAGGAAACTTGCTTTGTTCATAAATGTCCTGAATTATAATTCAGTTTGGTTAATATTTTAAAGCGAGAATCACACGATGCATGAATATTATAATAAATACGTTTCCAGAAAAGCTCTCTTTTTGAGACGTATTTGTGTGAATGTCGATCTCTGGCTCTTAACTAATAATTAGTTTACCTTTTATAAGAACGTAACAGAACAAGGCATTTATTATCTGCCTGAGGACGCTGCAGATAGTATTGACCAAGAATGTCTGGCAAAACAAAATCCCTCTATGCAGAGTGAAGAATAATGACACCGTTTTTATTTCATTGTATCACTACAAACGGGATAATAGTAACTCCTCGTGGCGGCTTCAAAAACCTGTTTAAGAAGGAGCTGCCTGTAGTGATACTTTTCGCACAGCTTGTTGTTGCATACATGTGTTATAGTTTCTCTGCGTTTGAATATATAAATGTTTGCATATAATTTTGTGTATGACTGAGCGGTATAAATCTCTTTCTGACAACAAAGCATGTTTGTTATTCCTTTTATTTCATTTATTCCGTGAGATCCGTGGATTAAGGTGTTATTTTATCATGGTTATAACAATGCCCATAATGGGGAAAATGCAAATTAGGAAATGTTTGTTTCTATCATAAAACGCTATAAACTGGTGCCTTATCCAATGTGATATGACATTAATCTCCATTAATACCATCTTTATATTCGTCCTTTCATATACTGCTTCTTTTTGTCACATGTGATATAATTTCGCTGTGTACGAAAAATTGTGATATGAATAGCTTTGTGTATGACATATTGTATAACGTATTTGTGTATTAGGTGTTAGTATTTCACGGATATGTCTAATGTGATTCAACTCTTAGAAGTTGACAAAAGTTGCAGTAAAAATATAGGATACCTTTAAAAGATGATACATATTAAAAGAAAGAAAAATTGTAAACGAGTCATGTTAGCAATGTCATGTTAGCAAACGCTCAAACAGTGAAATTCGTTTCAACAAATTATTTGACAGTCTTTTTTTCGTGGTCAGATATGTTCTGTTTTCTAATCTAAAAATCAATTTGGCACATTTTATTGTAATGTGTCGACGGATATTGTGAAGAAAAAGGCTATCAATATCAAAAGAAATTACCGTCGTCTCTTGCTTCTACTGTAAGTTGAAAGTCCTTATTTTCAAAATCAGTTAAGTCCTTCTTAACCAGGATCCGTCCAGTTTGGGGTTCAATTGAAAACAAACCCTCTCTATTTCCACTAGTTATGCGATAGCGAAGTTTTCGATTCTTTCCCTCGTCCTTATCGACTGCAGAAACCTGTGGAAAGAGAAAGTTAAGAATAATAAAGAGACAAATACTGGGATGATTTATAAACGCGAATAAAGAAAAGCACATTTCAACATTTGGAAATAGTTCTTTTTCCCTTTTTATCTTAACATAAGCCTCACTAAATTGGCACTTTCTACTATATGTAATTTCTTCCCTTTAATTTACTTCTCTTTCCGTTACTCTCATTTAAATATTTTCCTTGTGAATACAGGAAGAGAAATAGACTTAAATTTATTAATTATAAAAAAAAAAAAAACAAACTAACAAATAAACAGCAAAATTTGAATGACTGTAGCCTAACCTACAAGGCAGCTGCTCCGGAATGGTAAGCTCCCCAGTTCAAATCATTATTTTTTATTTATTTACGATCCATACTGTTCCATAACGATCATGGAATGACCATCTTGAAGTTGAAATAAAAAGCTAGTCGAATTAAAAGAAATAATAATAACAATAAAACAGTTGACAATGCTCCGTTTAAGAAATTTGAATAGTAATTATCAGACTGCTTCAATTATCTTTGGAAGATGAAACAGACTTTCTTTTTCCTCATCCTTTCATGCACTTCAGCGTAATATTGTGTGGGTCGTCCGTAGGCCCCCAGACTTTGAATTCAGAGTTGTCCTTCTCCAAGGCTATCCTGCTATTTAACCATAGTGTGTGCGTGTGGAGGGGGGAGATGAATTCATAGCTTTCAAAGGTATTAACATATGTGAATGTAATAAACCCGATTGGAATTCGAACTCGGCACTTCGATACGACAATCCGAGCCGCTGTCCATCGTGCCTCAAAAAATGTTAGGCTTCAAATTCTAAGCAATCAGACATAAACAAATCAAATATGTTTTTCATTAGGAATTTGTTCGTTTTTTTTTTTTTTTTAATATCCTTGTATTATCTATCTACCTCAGATGCATTGCAGTAACAGTTTGAAATTTGGTATTTATTATTTCTTGTTTTTCCGTGACTGATTGAGAGCCCCAAGCGGCCTGGGTGAACACTGTAAAATCGGCCCTTTAACTGAGGCTATGGTTTTGGTAGGCGCAGTAAGTACATACAGCTGGTGTTTCGTGGGTGCTGTCAGCCTCTGAGGAAAACAGTATTGAAATTAGAGAAGGTAATCAAGTTCTCAGTTTTCTAACGAGATGGCTCACCGGAACCTTGAGAGTTTTACCCAACCTGCCTCTGTTTGCAGCAAAATAATCCCACATTTCTAATATCAGTGGGCGTGATTTTTTATTTTTGAAAACACTAGAGATTAATCTATAAGATAACCACAAACTTAAGAGAATTTGAACAACGCACTTTGGCCAGTTGTGGTATGAACGTTTTGTTGTTACTCTTTTAGAGAGGTATCTTTTGTGTATGTACAAACAATAGACGTAGAACAAGTTCGAAGGAGTCGGTAGAAACTAGATTTTAGGGTAAATCATTTTTTCGCCTAGATTTATTGCACATCATGTTAACTGCTTGTAAATTTGTAAAAGAATATAATTAAAGTGAAGGAATTAATGAAGTCAAGTCTTAAAGTAGAAAATTACACTCTCCCTAGATTTGATTATTTATAAATACTAAGAGCCATTTATTTTCTGGATTATTGTAAAATAATGTACGTCGTCAATATGAAATTTCAACGAAGTAGACAAAACAAGAAGCTTATTCGCTTTCAGACCGATATCTTTTGTGTATGTACAAACAGTAGACGTAGAACAAATTCGAAGGAGTCTGTAGAAACTAGATTTTAGGGTAAATCATTTTTGTTCTAGACTTATTGCACATCATGTTACATGCTTGGAAATTTGTAAAAAAATATAATCAAAGTGTAGAATGAAGTCAAGTTTTAATCCTTTGAGGCCAATTATTTGCGAATTAAGAACAAGAAGTTGAAATAAAAAGCTAGTCGAATTAAAAGAAATAATAATGAGAATTATTATTATTATCATCATCATCATTATTATTATTATTATTAAAAGTTGTTCAGGAACGCAGGGCTCAAAGGGTTAATATAGAAAAAAAGAAAACGAACACTTTAAAGCTGGATAGTCTGTCGTTCGAACTGAAAAAGGATCGGACAATGTAGCTAAATCTTGAACAGAATGCTTATTAAAATTCTACATTTTGTAAAGAAGCATATGTCTATATCTCTGAGATGAGGTATTATAATTACATGCATTATTTACATCTTGGACTGTTATCTTAACATTCATTGTCATATTCACAACGTTTTGGCTGTTGTACGCTCCGGTCTTCTTTAGGTGTTGGCAATTTCGAACAAGGACACATGGCCCAGTGGATAAAGACGTTGGTTAGATCCAGTGACCAGACCCAAAAAGTGTGAGTTCAATACCTGGTTAAGGCGGCGGAGAACTTGGAAAGGGAATTAACAAGAGATAACTGATAACTGACATCCATTAGACATAGCACGTGGAACTAGAACAGTCTACTGCAGCGAGCGAAATAAAGGGTTCAGTTCGACATTCCAACCACCCGAAGAAGGCCGGGGCATACAACGGCTGAAACGTTGTGATAAATATGGAAACAAAGATGAGGATGATTGTCCGAATAATGTAAATAGTGAACATAAATATTGTACAAAAAAAAAAGAAATGAAATGAAAAAATACATCTAATGAAATGGAATTGTTTTAAGCTGCTAGTATATTTATTGCCAGTGATGTCATTGGCTCTCGGTAGATGAGACAACTACTTCCTTGCAGTAGTCGGAAGCAGCAGCAAATCTGGGATAGATAGGAAAACAAACGAGAATTTGTTTTTCTTTTTTTTATCGGGTTTACTAACAAGAAAATGTCCTTATCACTTACAGGGATAACTCAATATGTATACACATATGTACATATTTTAAGCATCAGTCAAACGACTTCAGCTAATCAATCGGCCAATATTCGTTACTATTTCTTACTTTTTTCTTTTAACAATGTTTAATTTCACTTCCATTGTGATGGCTTTCTTTTTCTTCGAAGCACCGCAGTCAGAAAAGATTGCCCTACGCTTGGCGGCCATAATGAATGGCAATAAGTTTTCACCAACACAGCACAAACGAAAGCGAGCGTAGGAACCAGGAATTTACACACGCCGTACAAGACAAACGGAATAAGCTGAAAAAAGATTAATGGTGATTGTGTCGTAAACCAAGAATTCATTGCTGACAATCTCCTAGACTGGCTGCTAAGGCTAAAGAAACCATTCTACTCTGATATTTAACTTGGATAAGACATGGATATATGCCTTCCCCAAGAACTTTCGTGCGAAAGTAAATGCAACAGCTTAGTATAGGAATTGAACTCGGCTCTCTGATTTCACTTTCTGTGCTGGTAACCGTTGTTGCTCGCACGTCTTTGGCAATTTTAGCGAGTTACTGTACGTCGCTTAGATGTGGCACAAAGCCGAATATATAGAGCATCCAGTGAGGATCGAACTCACTACTCAGTGGTAACTGAACGACAAGTTTGCTAACCATTATACCAAGTTACACCAAGATGTAGTGCCCTAATGATTTTCTAAACGTAGCTTAGATATGGCACAAAAGTGGAGAGCACCTACTCTCTACTCAATTGTAATTGATCTCGTGAGATAAATTTGCTAACCATTACAAAAAGTCGAAATGCCCCATCCTCGGCAGTCTTTAAGCGAATGCAAAACGTAAAAAGTGATGACGGGAGACAAAAAGACAATAAAGATTTTTTTTGCTTGGCTCGTCATAAAATTTATTATTAGAAATTTGTAGTGACATATGCCAGAGGTACGGAGAGAAACGAAAAAAAAAAACTGGTGTTGATACTAAAAAAAAAAAAATAAAAAAGATAGATAAAAAATCAAAAGCTTACTCACCCTTTTAACGACATCTCCAACTTTTGATTCAACAGAGATAACTGAATTATACGGCTGGTTCACAAAAATAGGTTGGTTGTCATTAACGTCTGTAATTTTTACGTGAACAATGGTCCGGGCAAACCGTGGTTGAAGAGATGAATCTTTAGCTTCTACTACCAACTTGTAGCTTGATCTTGTTTCTCGGTCAAACGGTCTGCCAACAGTATGAAGAACACCAGATGTTCGTCCAATAGTGAACATGTCGTTTGGATTGAGCAAGTCAAAGGTGACGTGCTCGTTTAGCGCGAGGCCTGTCAACTGGAGGACGAGCAGTGATTGATTGGTGACAATGTTTTCTTGGACGTCAACTAGGTACTCACTTTTCGTGAACACCAAACCCGTCTCGTCGCTCCGTTGTACGCTGATGAAAACCTCGACAAACGTTTCATGTTTACCGTCGGTGACACTGGCCGTCAAATTGTATTGGCTGTCAATGTCAGTGTCATTGATGACCAATATGATGCCAGTCCGGGGTTCAATCTCGAACTTGCCGTCCTCATTTCCGCTGACGATACTGTAAATTAAAACGCTGTTGACTTCTGTGTCAGGATCTGTTGCATTAAGCGTAAACACCGCTACCTCTTTAAAAGTTGGTAACAGGAGTGTGACATTGTAGAACTCTTGAGAGAATTCCGGTGGAGAATCGTTTGTGTCTAGAATATGGATTTTGACCATTGCTGGCTCCATTGTCAGCAAGCGAGGTCTCCCCATGTCATAGGCTCGAACTGTGAACTCGTAATCAGTTATGTTTTCATGGTCTAGCAGTGTTGCTGTGCGGACAGCGCCGGTACTAATATCAACAGAGAAGAAATTTGTCATTTTCTGTTCAATTATCTCGTACTGGATTAACGAATTTACACCAGTGTCTTTGTCCACAGCTCGAATAACCAGTGGGGATTTAACCTCGTTCAGAACGATACTACCAATGGGGGCCATTTCAATGATCATGCCAAAGTGGTTCTCTTTCTCAAAGACGGGATTGTTGTCATTCTTATCAATGATATGAATTAGCACCAAACAATTGGCTGACCGCCCAATTATATTGGTGGCCGTAATGGTCAGATTGTAAAAACTCTGTTGCTCGTAGTCGCAGACTTTGTTCGTGGACACCACTCCAGAATTAGGATTGACCATAAACATATCATTCAAGTTCCCGTTTGTAATTTTATAAACAACCGAAGATCGGCTATCGGCCCGAATACTTGTGACAATCACTCCTATTGGTTCATTTTCGGAAATCTCAGCGACATATTCATTTTGGGGAAATTTTGGTGGCGCATTGTTTGAAACGGTTACAAATATACGAACTGTCCCTGTGCTGGACAAGGACGGTACTCCAAAATCTGACGCTAAAACAGTCATTAGATATTCTGATTGACCTTCGCGGTCAAGTCCTTTGGCCACCGAAATAGTTCCCATGGTTTCATCTATGGAGAACGTTCTACCAACATTACCTTTAAATTAAAAAAAAAAAGTTATAAATAATAAAAAATAAATAAAAATAAAAATATCTAAGTGTTCAAAAAGTAATGTAGACTTTAGAGAGAAGGAATAAAACACTTCTAAAATATATTTTTATCGTCCCATGCAAGGCAGTAAAGCCACTAAGACAAAATGGGTTATTGAGTGTGAAAGAATAAGGAAGTAGAGAAACATTACTAAAGAGCGAGAACAATAGACGAATAATCAAGAAGACTGTAGATAAAGATTGACATTGTATTTCAATTTTTGAAGATCTAAGTTGGCTGGAAAGTATGGAGCCGGAAGAGAGTTCCACAAGTGAGAAATGCGAGAAAAGAGACTGTTAGCATAGAACTTACGATTACATCTAGTCAATTTAACTGTAAAATGTTGTCAATCTAGTACTGCGCTTAAATTCATAAAGTCTAGGTATCATGGCGAAGATTCCATTCGGACAATTACAATGAAAGGATTTATAGAAAAGGCACAGAGAAGCTACATTACGACGAGTAGGAAAGTGACTGAAGCCGATATGACAGATTAGGACCAATAATATTACTAATTCTTCTTTGGGTTTTTCAAGAATCTCTAAATATTTAACAGAAACATCGGACCATATGTGCCAGCATTCTGAAAATTAACTAAAATCGCATACGGCAATTAAATCTTAACATTAAATCACATGTCCTTTATAAATATCAAAACTAATCTATCAGTAACCGGCAAAATTAATGAACGTGACTGCAGTCACTGAAATGTATAGTTTGGCTTTCCAGTTGCCATGTTACCATAAAAATCTTTGTACTTCATATATTCTAAATGTTAAAGATGAAATCTAAATTTGGAAATAATTGTCTTAAAATATTTAATAACATCAGTATATGTTAATTCTCCTCCATTGTCAATACATTAAAATAAACAGCATTTTAATATTTGCCATGTTTAAAGTGAATCGTAGAAACAAAATATTTATTAAGCTTAGATTCGCCCGGTATAAGGCCACATGTATGAACTTATTACGACAATAATTGCTAAAATTGTAAACCATTAGGCCAGAAAAATGGAATTTTTAACAGAATCATTTCTAAAACAAGTATTTCTTATTTTAAAAGTATAGAGATATTTTTAGTACTTACTTTGTCCAAAAATATAGAGTTTACTTTATTATGAGTATTCTTATACAAATATCTTTTTTTTAGAATACAGATGCAAGAGGAGATTATCTCCCTTGTGACAGGAAGAGTTGGCTGATGTCTTATGGGGTTTTGAATTAAACGCGACAACCCGCTGGTGGGAATAATCAGTTGCTGCTTAGATTAGGACGGAGCCACTAGCCAACTAGTCGAACCGCTGACAGCAGCATTGTCACACTTTCTATGGGTCCTAAATAGGGAACCTAGGACATATTACCAAGACTGTACCATGTTCCTCTTTGGGTCGTTACACGAAAGACCATCTTTTTATTCCACCCCTTCACTTACAGCTTGCTTCTTTTTTTTATATGTGTTTTAATTTCTCTTTCTCTCTTTGTGCATGAGGTGGGGGAATTTCACACATACACATATGTACTCCATTTTAGTATGATTTATGTTTGTGTACTTCAGTGTTGTATATAAAATGTTTTCATGTATGACTCATTTTTTGGACTTTATTTATTTGGTTTATTCTAATTCTTCCTTCTCCGTGTTAGTACATCACTGATATACTAATGCCTATAGTGGGCGTTGGAGAGTGGAGAATATGAAGATATTTCTTTTCTCTTTCCAATTACCCTATTACAGAGAAATACGCACATGAGATAGTAATGTAACGTCGAAAGTAAGAGCAAATTGGATTTATATGGTATAATTTGTAAGTATTCTTATTGAAGGAGCTATATGAATCGACGTAAAAGAGATATTGGAAAATTATATCGCATATCAATAGACAATTTAGATTGTCTTATAATAGTTATTTCTTCAAGAACAATAAGAAGAATTGAAAATAATATACATACCTGAGATAATACTGTAACGAATCTCAGCATTTTTACCCTTGTCTTGATCAGCAGCCACTACCTGGAGGATTGATGTTCCAATTGCGGCGGTCTCAAATACCCTTCCTTCAAAGATATCTGAGAGGAATTCTGGCTTATGGTCATTGTTGTCCAATACCTTGATGATCACTCTGCACATATTTCGTTTTAATGGTAAACCTTGGTCCCTGACCATTACTACTAATTCATGGCGGGCAAGAGCTTCTCGATCTAACTTCTCATTTACCTTGATAATACCTAAAATAAAATAATTATCATCCACATATATAAAATATAATAATAATAACAATAATAATAATCCAAATATATAATGCCCAATACACAGGGTGCGATGGGTAAATTGTCGCCATTATATACTTTTAATTTCGCGCATGCGCGTTGTTGATTTTTGATTTTGTCGACTGCACAGTATAGTAGGATCAGTTGGGCACCGTTTGAGAGAAAAAGAGCACCATGACGCAATTCCCTCCACTAGAAATTTGGAAACGGCTTACTGTACTGCTTGGCATTCGCGCCGGAAGCTCCAATACAAACATTTCAGAGTGTTTGGGTGTCAATTTGCAGAGGACTCGGAAGGGAGTTGGATGAGTATAATGGTGATTTCGAAGGTACAGTAGCTCGGAAAACTCACTCTGATCGTTCTGATAAGAAAATAATTCTTGAATTTGTTTATGAGAGCCTCAAACAACACAGGGTGCATACAACAAATGCCTTGAGGAGATAGTACTTCTTTGGTTTAAGAGTGTGGCTACTGAAAGACCCTATGTATGGCAACGCAAGTAGCAAAACCCAATCATGGCTGTCAGACAATTTCTGCGACCACATTATCCCTTACATCTGGTCATCTAACTCTCCAGACTGCAAAAGGGCGCAGTTGATTGAGAGACCAACAAAACTCGTTGTCAGAGCAAAGATGAACTGAAAGCAAAAATGATGGCAGCATCCATCAGCTTAAACAAGGAGACCGTCCAGAAGAGATGCAGAAGATCACGAAGTTGTCTTGAGGCCGTGCTTGAAGCCAATTGCGATTTTATTGAATAAATTTACTCTTTAGTATTTCAAGAAATCTTTGGGTAATTTTGGTAAATATATCTGTTGAAATGAAATAGCAGCGTTATTTTCATTTTGTGGCATACTGACGACAATTTATTCATCGCACCCTACGTTTATAAATTTAACATATTTCGCTTTTATTTAAGTTTCATCAGAAAATAAAATAAAGAGGGGAAAAGAAAATTCTGGTATTTTTCTTTTCTCCTTCATATATATATATATATATATATATATATATATATATATAAAAAGGAAATGTATAAAATCATTATACTTCATTTAAAAGTAATAGATAAAATAGTTCCCAATGAACCCTCAATTCAGATATAACATTTCATTTCATTTTGAATTTAAAAGCACTTCTTAATGACCACAGTTTCCCTACATAGGATCATCAGACTCTTCTTCGGAAATCAGTGGTTTAGTTTGCTTAGTTAAATATCAGTATTCACTTTGCATACCATTCAATCGCGCTTATATCTACAGTTACAGGGGTGGGGGGAGGTATTTTTATTTTTATTATTTATGACCGTTTTATTGTGTTTCTTAATGCTCTTAAGTTTGTAGTACAGCTTTTTTTACGGTTAAAATCAGAGATTATCATATCATTTTAATCTTCGTATCTTAGGAACGAGGATTTAACAATAGACTTACCATCAAGAAGCTGATTGTACCTTAGAATTTTCGGAAGTCTACAATCACGTATTCTTATTACATGACCTGCACATTTTAGCCAATACTGTATCGATAAGTTATTTGCTCTGCACAATTAGTGAATACTTCCTAATTAGTAACACACATACACGCACACACACACACACACACATATATATATAATACTAATCTTATAAATATAAGAAATTATACTCGTCCGGAAAACCTTGGGTACTTTGATATGTAAATAAACAGACCAATATCCAAGGGGAAAAAAGGTGCAAAAAAGAAAGAACAGAGAACATGTACGTCAGCCGAAGACAATCGTCTAGCATTCAAGTTCAGAGTGCAAAGATAAAAACCCCGATACGAGTAAGTAAACTAACTGCTCAATACGTTAAGTAGAGCAAACCTAATTAAACTTAAAGAGCCAGATAAACCTACCAAGGTTTCACCTACGCGTATCGTCAGGGAACACTGATGATCCGCGTAGGTGAAACCTTGGTAGGTTTATCTAACTTTTAGGTTTAATTTATATATATATATATATATATATATATATATATATATATATATATACACTAGGTGGGTGTCTATGTGTACAGAAGAGATTGCTCAGAAGGTGTGGGACTGACCTACCGTATAAAGCGACCTATAGGTAAGACGACACCCTCAAAATCTAGGCAAATTTTCGTGATTTTATCTGATATCTGTAATATAAGACGACCGACTTGAGCCCATATGACGAAATTGTAAATGACAATGTATATGATGGACTATTTGCATCAGATGGTAATAATTATAGTAATATTGAAGGATTTTGATTATGTATGAGGGTGTCTTACGTTTTTTTTTATTCTGTAATCAGAAACAAAGATTTTATGTTATATTTTGTTGCTTAACACCGCAAAAATTACTGTATAATGTCTATTATTAAAAACACATTTTGAATGTTATACTAGATGTTATTGTTATTTAACGCCACAATGAATTTAATATATATAGATTATATATAAAAGTATAAATTGTATGATATCGTAAATGTTGTAATTTAACACTACTATGAGAAATAATGATTGATGTAAATGCACCCATAGCTCTACAAATCAAGAACGAAATATTTACTTGTTACTTTTGTGCGTGTTGCTCAGCAGAACTTTTTGCAAATTGCGTAATCGTCTCTTGAATATTGCCTTTTAATGCGAAATTCAGAAGTAAAATAGTTTTATTACATTTATAACTGAAGCACAGCATTATAACGTGAATCGTTTCAACTTGAAATATTTACATCAGTAGTTACCATACCGAGGCAGTTATTAGCCTACTACGATCAATGACGCAAGCATACTAGCCTACTTACCAGTGGAGATACACTACAGGATTTAAGGTTAGCTTTTTGCAATTATTGTATTAGACGACCCCTATTTTAAAAATCGCCTTATACGCGGAAATATACGGTACTTCCCGAAATCAGTATTTCAGTGACCAATCAGAAAATCTTTGAGTAAGTTAAAGGAACTTGAGAAATCATAGGCGAAGTGTTTTGAAATGCCGGATGAAAATGTTAATGACGATAAGTTTCATGACTTTTGGTTATCTTTCTTGGTTGGGCTGAGAACCTTTCAGGCTAGGACCAAGTACTGGTTTGACGTTTGAGTTAGCATTAGCCAACCAGATATCTCAACTTTGTATATACGACTAAGGAGATATTGTTTTTTTTTTGCATTTTGGGCAAAGGGCGGATTGTACACTTATATGCTATCTAACACAGTAGGTTATATACACATTTTTTTTATCATTACAATTTTGATCGTCTAATTATCTAATATATCCATTTTTTATAATTAAAATTTTGATCATCTAATACAGTAGGCTACATGTTAAGGGGTCCACCCCTTTTTCATACAAGTGAACTCGACCGGTATGTACCTGTACTGCTGCCGGTGAATACCCGGAAGTCAGAGTGATACAGTGATACAGTGAGAGAGTGTGAGTGTGAGGTGACCGCTTGGCAGGAGTCACAGTTGCGAGCACGTAGACTCAGAAGGAAGTCATACTTCGATACTGAATTTTCCAGACTGTATATATATTATTATTGCTACTAACCACATTTCTGGATCTACTAACCGCATTACCAATTGTATTATTACGTCAATATATTTATTTGCTATATTTCCTTCCTGCGTTTGTCATTCCTTTGAGACCGGATTTCATCCCGGAATCCACAACATTACATATCCATTTTTTTCTTCTTTCTGTATTGTCTCAAAGAATGACATTATTTATACTCCACCATAGAAAGTACCTGAAAATGAATAAATACGTCAAACAATTTTTCCTCGTAAATATAATCCATAAGCGAAAATTTCCCAATATTTTTTTTATCTTTTCATCTCCCACCATAAATTTAATCCGGATTACCTCCCTTATATACAGTCCGAAACCACCAGCCATGGAAATATCGCCTTGTATTATTCAAATGTTTTCAATTCTGGCCAGTTTGTATCAGTCTGCATCATGTTTATTTTTGTGTAGATGCCATTCAATCTCACCCACATCGCTATTCTATTTAGAAAGAAAAGCGCATCGATTTATTTTTTGATCTTATTGTTTGTTCGTTAACAAGAGAATAATTCAAACAAACTTTTTGGGGGTACTCACCATTTTCCGAATCTATATGGAATTTTCGTTTACTAGCTGAATTTGTGGCCGAGGCAACCGAATAAAAGAGACGCCCTGTGTCACGGTCAGTTGCTGATACCTGCAGCACTGTTTTACCAATAGCGGCAGACTCATAGACCTCTCCGATATATTCTTTCTGGGTAAATATCGGTGGGTTGTCATTCACATTTAGAACTTTGATGTACAACTGAAAATAATAATAATAATAATAAGGATAGAAGGATAAATAAAAAAAACAAAGACAAGAAAAGGATTAAAAGAAAAAAGCGCCTCGATGTCAAGAGGATACAGGCTAGAGAGTTTGTCATAATTCTTTTAAAAAATAGCCACAAAAGGCAAAATTAATCAAATAATAATAATAATAATAATAATGAATTAATGAAGGGAAAGAAACTGTAATTTACCCAGGCAAAGTCTTGATGTATTCCATCTGTGGCCCTTATGGTGATATTATAATGATCTTGGGTCTCGCTGTCTAGAGTCCGCGCCACAAATATCAAGCCATCCTCTGGGCGAATGCTAAATTTGTGATCTTCGTTTCCATCTGAAATAAATAAAAAAAAAAGAAGATAAATTAGATCGAATTCCAAAAACTGTTCAGAACTATTTGAAACTTTTACTATGTTAAAATTATATTACTTTGCACTAAAATGCTTTCAGAAGATAATTACTTTAAGACTAATTGTATGTAGTAAATACAAATGTCGGGACTTGTAGATTATTTCCTTCCCTTTGGCACGATGTTTATTATTTTTTCAAATAATTTTCTCCGCGGAATGATTATATTATTCCGGGAATAAAAACTACAAACTTGAATCTTTCCCATCGGCATGATTATTCCAGACGACATCACTATAGCAATTGAATTCTTTGTATTGTTGATGTCACCAGCACAAAATCCCAGCCGATGAATTCTGCAGTTTTATTCAGGGCTATAATTCGTAAGGAAAAGAAGAGATCTCTTTTGTATGACACTTGGAAAGAATATTTTTAAAACGATATTTGAGAGAAAGAGTAGTCTTTTTTTTTATATATGCAACATGCCACGCGTCTTGTGGCATGTTTGGTGTTGTTCTTATTCGCATGTACATCCATTCCACTACATTTTCTAGTAGCATTATGTAAAGTTAAAATATACAAAGTACACCTTTGTGCAAATTAATTGAAACAACTGCTTTAGTTTTCTTTTTTTCACCATACGGTCATTTTTTGACCCATTGGAGTGACAGGATGTAATCGGTTTCTATTTTTCCTCAGATTAGGTCATTTGCAGTGGTGTGTAGAAATATGAATCTGTTTTCGGGTTGTATGATGAACTTTGTTTGGCCTTGAAAAATATTGCGTCATCCATGATTGCATCAGATTTTTATCACGCCTAGACATTATTGTCTTGACTGTCGATTAGTTGTCCTACGGCCATTGTCTGCGATGGTCATTACTCCATGGAAGCGTCCGAAAACTGTAACTCTGCATGAACACACTGGCAAGCTTTACCAGTGTGCAAATCAAAGAACGACAGACTGGCTCGGAAACTCTTCTGATTTAAATTCAATTGAGAATCTGTTCTTAATCTGCAAGGAACGACTTAATGGAATGGACATACGAAATACTAACATGTGCACTGGGCCATGTTTCATTGGAAAAATACGAAGGGAAAGTAAATAATAACGGAATTATTCGTTTTGTTTCAATTAAGTTACACAATGTGTATAAGTCAACCTGTTAAGAACTTGTGTCGCAAAAAAAAAAAAAAAAAAAAAGAGATTGTGTTTTGTCTTTATTAATTATACATCTGAATAAGATTGTAGATTGTGTATTGACCGAACCTTTGTGGTAACAATATTGCCAATACAAAGTTTTGCGAACAAAGGTTGAAAATTAATGAACGTATTTATAACCAATTATATTCCAGGCATACGATAAGATGGCGACTGTGCTCATCTTGAAATTTTCCATTAGTTGATTAATTAAGAGTAATTAATCAAATAGTTTAGTATACATTTTATACAACTCTTCTGTCATTTTGTTCGTCCACCTGGGGTGGGACGTTGGTAGTTTGCATTTGTTGTATGACAATTACTTCAACCAACTCTTTTATTCATTTTATATCATCTGAAGAAGGCCGGGCGTACAACGTTCGAAACGTCGTGAATATGACAATAAAAATGAGGACAACGGTGTCCCCAAAGTCACATGGCCCAGTGGATAAAAGCGCTGGTTAAAGTAATCCAAAAATGATTTGACCCAAAGAGTTGTGAGTTCACTGGCTACAGCAGAGGTGATCAAAAAAAAAACTTGGAGAGTTGAGTTACTAAGGGGAAATAACAAAAACTGCGATACACAGAAAAAGCATTGCACGTGGACTAAATAAAAGGTTCAGTTTGAAATTCCAAAGTATATCATCTGAAGAAGGCCAGAGCGTACAACGGCCGAAACGTCGTGGATATGACAATAAAGATGAGGACAAAAGTCCGAACAATGTAAATCTTTTCTTAATTCTCTTTCTTCTCTAAGAGTTAATAATAATAATAATAATTCAATAAAGGAGAAAAAGCCTCTCAGATCTTTATGCATTACATTGCCGAAATAGCATGCAGAAATAGAACATTTAACGATATAAAGTATAAATTAATATCTATTGATTTCTGTTCTTTGTAAATCGAAAACATGGCAAAATTTGTAGAGCGTTGCTTGTAATATAAATATTTCTTGGATTTTAACCAAATTTGACATGGTATTATATTCATACAACACTGAGAGAACGATTTACTCACTATTAACGGCTTGAGAGATTTATTTCCTACTTTTTCTTATTTACTTGGATTAACCCATTAAGTTCGACGATTAGGATCCCTTATCGGATATTCTCCATTTTGGTTATTCTTGAATTTTTTCAGCTGAAAACTGACCCCCAAAATTCACTAAAAAAATATTTTCCTAATAACTGATTAATCATACGGGGTGGATGAGTTTCCTCTGCAGATAAAGCAAATCCTATTTCTTAATCAAGTCAATGAATGTAATCCGGGATTATCCTATTTGTATATCGACTGTTTATAAAACCATGACTTAGAATCTTTTGTACATCTATAAAATGCTCTCGGCTATGCCAAACACTGACACCAAATTGTCTGTTGTTGCTGGTAAAAAAACGAAAATGCTCATTGAAGGACCGAGATAAAAATGAAAAATAAATACTATTTACGACTAAACGCTATATAAAAAATATTGATCTTTACACCGAAGCATTACAGAGAAACCTGATACAAGTATTTTTTTAAAGGAAGTTCGCCACAAAAATAAATCATATTCTTTCACAGAGCTGTTCACAAAATAAATATTATTCTTAATACAACTAAGTTTATGATTAATCTCTCCACAAAAATAAACACTATTCATTTTGTGATTATGTTAATAGTATCTGTCTATATTTCTGAGATGAGCTATTATGTACATTATTTACATTATTCGGACTATTGTCCTCATCTTTGTCGCCATATTTATTACAACTTTTCCTACGTTGTATAAAGAAGGCTGGAGCGTACAGCGGCCGAAACATTGTAATAAATATGGCGACAAAGATGAGGACAATAGTCCGAATAATGTAAATAATAAGCGCGAGACAATCGTTTTCATGCAGGAACCATTAGGTATTCATTGGTCGAAAAGTTAACTTTATTGTCGGTTGAAATTTATCAAATCTTTTTCTGAAAACAGTTTTTCAGGAAATCAGTCTTCTCAAGTTCACTGTTTTCACCCTTTCTAGTACTGACGGAAGTTTCCTTCCTAACCTTTTGTTTGTGGTAGTTTGGAAAGTTAACAGCTTATTTCTTTAAATTTCAGCAACACAAATGAGTAGCTACTAATTTTTGTTGTTGTTGCTGTTGGAAGTGTTCAAGTGATGCGAACTTTGCTATTTGGTAAAGATTCTTGTTCGTGATTATGTAGCGCCAATCTATAAGATGTTAGGCAGGATAGTTTTCATTAAGACCTAAAAGATTCATTCGCTTGAAGCCATTTTTACTCATTGATCTGAGAAACTGTTGTATATACCTGCTAATTTAGGCATTTTTGAACTTGTTAGATGTCAAGCATGACATCCGTATGAGAGTCTAGATTTGATGAAGCCTTTTATGAAAATGACTATTTTTCATGTCAATGTTTTTTTTTTGTAGCACCTTACGATGTTGGACATAAATACCCCCAGCGTAACCTGTTCTGGTTTCAACTTATATACTATATACTAAATTTGTTTTAACTGATTCCAACATCGAGATATTTTAAATGTTTAGATTTTATCAATTCTGTTCTGCTCTCCGCAAAACACATTTTTTATGAGATTGAAATCTACAAAAACAATACTGATCTTTATAACTACGTTCGATACGAACTTAAAAATGCACAAATATGGTTAAAATCTTAATCATGTCAGTGGATTGTCTGCACATGAACTTTTCGCTAAATCAGTAGCTAAAGTAAATATTATAGACATTTGTTGTGGAGGTGGCGTCTGAGTAGAGCGCCCTCTGTTGGAAGTTAAATCCAGTTAGTAAAAATTCCCTTGTATTATTTTAAGCAAATCTCTGAAAAAATGTTTTTACTGCACATAGTATTTTTTTCTTCTATCTTTTCCACCTGACTCTCTTTTGTAGCAGGAGGCCATTATTTTCTTTTCCAGAAGTTTAGTCTGTCTTGAGACTGCAGGGATTTATTTAGTTATGCAGGTAAAACCAGTTTAGGATATTTTTTGGCAATCACTCCCACTTATCTGCTCTGGTTAAATCTAGAAATGTCGAACGGAAAGATAAAGAAAAAATGAAAATGACAGGAACTTTACGAACGATCGAATTTTTGTTCAGTCCAATAAATTCTGCCCAGCTAAATGTACAAAGCTTAGCGATATGAACAGGAAAAAAGTCGAACATCAATGTTTAAATCTTATAAACGAATTCGATTAGATTAAAAAGAGAAAAACTCTAGGAGTGCACGTTTCTCCGTCGAAAGATATGGAAGTATTCAGTCATTCTAGTCCAAAGATGAAATGCACCACAAGGATTTTTTTTATTAAGCAAACCTACGCACATTTGTATGAGTAATATCGGTACATTGCAGGGTTTCATTAGTAAATTTTACGAGAGGGTAGAGTGGTTTCATATTGTTTCTTTCACGGTTTTTAATTCAGAGTAATTTCTCTCCAAAACCGGTTGCTAACCAAGGCTAAAGAGCCCAGACTGTCAGACCATTCTTATAGCTGTTGGGATAAGGGTAATAGAGATGGGTTCATGAATTTTCTAAAGGCATTAGTTCGAAGTGAATATAACAAACCGAGCTGAAATTGTTCTCTTGTTGATTCCATTTTCCGCGCTTACGACTGCTATATAATATATATATATATAATGTTTGGGTGTATGTATATAAGATATATGCATTCATATAGCCTATAGAGTATGTGAGTAGATATTTACAAAGGATTAATCAAATATAGCCATGCTGGTACACGTGGTCGAATGAAGGGAAAACAAGTAATCAAGGCTCATAATTTATATAAATTTACGATTACAGGGCATTAACCATGAAACAAACAACTCGTCATCCACGGTAAACTAGCAAGGGGAAGTCGGAGAAGTCTGGTTTCGATCGGCCCTTCCTGAGGTCGAAAGCAGTCAGACGATTTGAAAAAAAAGTAAACCTCATTCTCCAACTAGAAGTAGCATTTCGCAAGGAAATTTCCGGAAAAATCACAGGAGTTCACACCTAGAACAATATCATTTTAAGTTGTAATCTTGACACGTTTTAACACGAGACGTGGATGAACGGCGTACGAAACGGAAATAATTGGTGTATGAAAATTGAAATTACTACATATATATATATATATATATATATATATATATATATATATATATATATATATATATATATAATTTTGGGTGTATGTATATAAGATATATGCATTCATATAGCCTATAGAGTATGTGAGTAGATATTTACAAAGTATTGTCTGGTATAAGACCGCAAGAATTGAGCAACTAGTGCAATGCTAACTTATTACACACGATATTATTCACGAGCTTGTAAAATATTGCTTCCTGACAGATGCCTTAAATTATTCTAATTCATTAAACTTAACTGAACCTTGCCATGGTATATCTCTAGCTGCGAAAGTCACTGAAATTTGCCAGGCTTGCATTGAAAATTATCCCTAAAAAATCTGCTTTCATCTGTATTCGAACACGCACCACAAGTATTTCGGGGAAATAGGCATCTGGTTCAGTGAAGTCTTGTATGCTAAATAATCTCTGACAATGTCAAGTGAAATCACTTTTGAAAGTCACCAACGTTAGCCATTGGAGAGTGGTTAGACTATATATATTTTGGTGCTTAATTAAAACTCGTGTATCAACTAGTAATTTTGTATTTCAGCGAATAAACTAATAGTCCATGTTAAACGAGACCTTAAATAAAATTCAAATTTGTTTGAACTTGAGTTAATGAAAGCAAACTATAAATTTTGGTGTTTATTTACACCATCTTCAGAAAAGTACCATTTAATTTTATATCATTCTGGCTACAATTCTTATTGCGAGCGTGTTAATTCCTGAGTGAAGGAGCTCAGGGTTTGTCCAATGTTGTTACTTGTTCAAAGAGATTCCAGAAGTTGTCTTGACAATCATTAGACTATTTAAATTGGAAGAATTACATATTTTCAGTTCCTCGATTCCACTTTACATTTTACAGATATTCAAGCATGATACTGCACTGCATATAACCATTTTTGTGGCACCTGTGTGTGTGGAATAATGGTTAGTGACCTAGTCTGTGATAGTCATTACTACAGAGTGCTGAGTTCGACCCTCCTTCGTTTCCAATGCTTGTGACATCGAGCCGAAATTAGCTTAAATATTTTATGCTTCCGTAGACGAACCAGAACTTCAATGGGGGTACAAGAAAGTAAAATATGATAAACTTTAGAGGACTATTTCCCTAGGAGATATGTAACCCATTCTTTTAAATAAATGAGGTTGATGAGGTTTAATTTCTAGCACCTGAGGAAATTTGAGCAATTTTTCTCCCTAGTCCCATGTACGGGTGGAGTTCCTACTTGAAACTCGGCCTTGTGCCCTATTTTGTTCAAATGGGCGCGAAAATCATTATCCAGGTCACCATTTTAGCATTTAGTGAAACGTCAATATTACGTCTTTCTTTCGGCGTTGGAAAATTCATACGTAAATAGTGTTTTGAATAAATATCATTGAAAAAACTTGTTTTATTTGAAGTACCGGAATATCAGAAGTAATTTATTATATCGGCGTGTCAAACCTGGATTTTTAGATGTTTAAACTAATCTAAGTCTGAGCGAGTATTTTCATTGAGCTTATGATAAAACAAAAAAAACAAAAAAACAAAAAACAAACAAACAAAAAAACAAAAAACAAACAAACAAAAAACAAACAAACTGATCGAGATTGTCAGATAACCATTGCGTTGGGCTCGGCTATCTGCTCGCTCAGACTTGCAACTCGACCTTGCTTCATTTCTATTTTGCAAGGTCAGATGTGATGGGCTTGACTGGCAACCTTGAGCCCAGGGATATTTGCAAACACTTTGGATTAGAGGATATACAAAACACACTGATTATTTTATTTGTTCATGCTTCCGAACGGCAAATTGTTTTACCTGTGCGCTTCATCACACACATACACACATACACATACGCATGCGCGCGCCAGCGTGTCTGCCTATAGTGCAATTTTATGCTTTTTAATCCACACATACATCTCAATGGGCTTGAAACGTGAAACTTTTAGACGATGCATATTAAATGCTTTGAAAATTTGACTTCACTCATTTTTTCAAACTAGTTTATTATTTAATTTTGTCGTCATCATTCTTGGTGATCAGTCCTCTATGACTTTTTGAGGGGAATTAAAATATCTATCAGTATCTGTATTATGTAAGATAAATATGTACACGTAATTTCAAAATGCCGTGCACATATGTATTATCTGAAAATAAATCAAAAGTACATTTGCCTCCTGATGAATGGATTTCAGAATCTGCGAAAAGTGTTGTTAATTTATTTATTATTATTTAAAAACATTCTTTTTCACCTGCATTTGTTCATGTTGGGTTTCATCACCAAAGATCTAGGTCAATCTAAAGATGGGATTATTTTTGATTTCTCTTAATTAAACAAAAGAAAGCTATTAAAATAAACTTAAATGAACAAATCTCTCCAGACAATATGGCGAATGTGATTGTTAGAACTATGTTTTAGATTTCCTGGAGAGATGATGTACCACGTATTTTGTTTGATTGTTTTTATTATTGTTACCAATAATCTATCTTTCGATATTGAGCACTATAATTACAAAGACAGCTTGCCTAAGAAACTAATCTACGTTTTTTGCCCCAAAAATCATAATTTCATATATATATATATATATATATATATATATATTGGTTTCATGGTACTGCTCATAAAGGGCAGTAAAATTTTGTACTGCATTTGGCTTGGGAGCGCAGTTTAAAATTTGGGTAGTGCTTCACACACAAACACACACGCACACATATATATGTGATAGGATAAGGAACAAATCGGAATGGTTTATATATCTAAGATGTTTCGCTTTTATTAAAACATCATCAAATAAAAGCGAAATATGCTAGATTTATAAACGCTACCTATTTATTCCTTATCCTATCATTATGCTGGATTTCAATCCATATTTGATCTATATTTGATTCCAATTCATATATATATATATATATATATATATATATATATATATATATACTGTTGTGGTGTCCTCCCTCTAAAGAGTCTATGTTGGACTCTTCCGCCTACCATAAGATTAGTAGGAGAGAAAGGTTTGGGGGAACAGTCGAATAGATTGAACACTGGGTCAACCGACACCCACCCACTAGTTATGTAATATTCTTCTGTTGTACTTACTGTTTAATATATGATATATCTGTAACACTTGTTTTGTTATTTCTCTAACAATTTACTTAGTCACAACATATACATACCGATTTACTATTTTAAAAAAGAAGAAAAATATATAAAATTATTTTACACTATTTAAAGTAATAGAAATACATTAAGAGTAATAAAAATGAAATTTCCTAATAATTTCAATTCAATAATTGGATGAGGTGCCTTACCAACAATAGAGTACCAAATCTTATCTCTATCAGGATCAAAAGCTTGCACCAACACGATCCATTTGCCTACTTCATCGTTCTCCATTACTTCCTCCGTAATGTATTTTTTGTTGAACGCCGGCGGTTTGGGCGAATATTTCTTGACATTCACAACCTTGATCTTGACTTTGGCCGATGACTTCTTGGGAGGAACGCCCTTGTCTGTTGCCTTCACCTACAAAACACACACATTTAAATGAGAAATTAAATGGGATAAATGTAAATAAAAGAGCTAATTTGAATAAAAAGTATACACGGATATATTTTAAGCATTAACATAGAACTAAACCGTAAGTTCTATGTTAACAGTTTCTTCTCTCGCACTTCTCGCTTGTGGAACTAGGCTTCTTGCTTCCCTGCCAACTTTGATCTATAAAATATTAAATGAAATGTCAATCATTATGTTCTGTCTTTTAATTCTTGTTCTTTTATTATCCTCTCTACTTAGTATCTTTTTCACATATTCTTTAACAATCAGTAACCCCTTTCATCTTAGTGGCTTTATTGCCTTGCTTGGGGTGAAATGATGATTCGTTTGTTCGTAATAGTGTCTCAACACTGTATGATGGCACGTCAAATAGATGGTTGGTGGGGAGACATAGTTAAATATTTTTACCGAAGTTTTTGCAAGCACGGGAATTTCGTCTTTTCAAGAGGAAAATAGGTGTATATACCCCACTCGCTCAATTTGTTTTTTGTTTTTTGGTTATGCCGGTCTTGAACATTTAGATTTAAAATCCTTATAGTCGGTTTGAACTCCCCGTACGGGAGCCATAAGCAAGCTAATTAGTTACAGGGAGGTCATTGGGAATTAAAGACATAGATAAAAGTATAGAGAGAAAATAGACATCAAATAGATAGATAGATAGATACAAGATGAGATGGATCTATCTATCTATCTATCTATAGATAGATAGATAGACAGAAGATGAGATAGATAGATAGATAGATAGTAACAGGTGTAGAGTTAAGGAGACAGGAAAAGATATTAGAATATAAAGAGTAAGAGAGAGAGAAACATAACCGACAAAAAGGAAGAAGAAGGAATAGTGAGTGAGAAGAAAGAGAAAAGGAAAGGGTTGTTATGTTTTTTTATGGCTTATCAACCCTTTGTAGGTTATTTAAAGCCGGGACATATTTCGGACTGTAAGAATAATAATAATTTTCATTTGCGAGTAAATATTGCATCAACAATTATTTTTTTTTAGAATAATAATGATTTTCCAGATCTACTATTTAACACATAGTTGGGGGAGGTAATGGATTAATACCTTTCCCAAGGGTATTTGCGCGTAAGTGAATATAACGAACCCGATTGGAATTCGAACTTGATTTTCTCATACAAAAACGCTATTCATTACTCCACCCGCACATCCGGGGAAAAGACAGCTGCGAATCATGAGAAAAAACGCAACAATTCAAAATGAAGCGCTAGAAAAAAGAAGAAAAGAAAAGGAAGAGAAAGAAGTAGAAGAGAGAGTAATACTACAACTAGTAATAATAAAAAAAAGAGTTGAAAAAGTAAAGAAAGACCAAGTGAAAGAGAGAAGAAGCATTTTACTTACAACAAAATCATATTCCGATCCTGCCTTGAGGTCCTTCTCGCAGGAAATAATTCCCGTGTCTGGATCAATGGAAAAGTCATATTGCTTCTTCCGCTTGATACTGTAAATGATCTCGGCGTTGCTGCCGACATCAATGTCCTTGGCCATGATTCGGAACAAGGCTGAGCCCTTGACGGAGGCGGGCACCTGCAGGCGGTATGGACTGCTAATGAACTCTGGTGCGTGGTCGTTCTCATCCTCGACGTGGATGACAACCTGAGTAGATGAGCTGAGATTTGGGACACCATTGTCTCGGACTGTGACCTGTGATTTGGGACAATGACCCCCAAAAATTAAGGAGAGAGAGAGAAAAAAAATGTTAAATGCAAAGAGACGTATTTTATGACATTATAAATTTATCAATTCCACATAACAGAAATAACGTCAAACACATAATACTTATAATATAATCTTAATATATTCCGGTTAATTGGGACATAAAACAATAAAACATGGCCCAATTATACGGCTTCTATAGATTTAAGAAACAGTCGCTTAAAGGCTGCATGAAGCAACTTTTGATCACGATGCAAATCCATTTAGCATTTATATAATTATAATTATTTGCACGAAAAGGAAAAAATCTTCTATAAATAGCTTTTAATGTATATTTGCATCTACTTCCCTCAGATCATTCAAGAAGAATACTGATGTAAAGTTCACATTATTAGATTGCAAATTGAACGTTAGAGTATTTTAACTGTGCCAACAAAAATCTTGCCGCGATGTGCCGTTTTTGCTGTTTTACATTAACAATGCTGCAGAAATTGGCACATTATTATAAAGAAAATTATTTGTTAATAAATAATGGAAACTATTCTATAATTAGACTTGAATGTAGTCAAAATTATATTTTACAATACAAATTATTTGAGTAGATGCGAACACTTGCTGTACATTGTTATTAGGAAATTGTAATTGGAAGGAAAGATGCTTTATATATATATATATATATATATATATATATATATATATATATATATGATTGGTGTATACGGAATAAATTCCAATAACCAACAATTACTATTCTTAAAAGATTGCTCAATACAGAGTAGAGCAGATATAATTATTTATTTAAAAATTATAACATAAACATGTTATAAAATCACTACAAAAATAGCCATTTTGTTTTTATAACATATTTATGTTATAATTTTTAAATAAATAATTATATATATATATATATATATATATATATATATATATATATATATATATATATATATAAATGCAAGGTGTATCAAAAATACCTTTACAAACATTGGGGCGTGTTCCTCACACAAAACCAAGGACAAAAGTCCATATAAACATATGACCGCACATCCTTTATTTATGATTTATTAAGTTTAAAGAAAGTTTACAGTGGATGGCGCTGTGTTGCCATTAGACTAGGTTACATTTCTCATTCGTGTACATTTGTGGTTAGTTTGTCTTCAACGTTTAGCGTGTGTAGTCGTGAGTTAACTGAGAAGTGTTCCGTTTAACAATGGCAGAATATTCCTATCGTGAGCAGGCAGATATGATTTTGACATACGGTCGCGCGAATGCTAATGGACGCGAGGCTGTATGGGTGTATCAGACTGCGTTTCCAGAGTGAATGCAGCCGAGCCATCCAATCTTTGCAGTTGTTTATCGTCGCGTTGCTGAGACAGGATCCGTGACACTACAAGGATCGAGGAAGATATATATATATATATATATATATATATATATATATATATATATATATGTAATTCTATCATACAATATGCATCACGCAATTACATCTTAAAAGACAACCGTTGAAAGAAATTCATAACAATTAATAATAAACCCATTGAAAATTGGCTATTGAAATGGCCGAAAGCGCTTGAGACAAGAGACTACGGTCAAACAAATTTAAGAATACTAGAAAAACTCAATCAAACATGAATCAAATTTTCTTTTTTTGTCGTCGTAGTCAACGAAACATGTTTGAAAGAATGGTTGTTGCCCAAATACACACACACACACACACACACACATATATATATATATATATATATATATATATATATATATATATATATATATATATATATATTGAATGACTGACTTCAGTACCTAAGGACTAATAAAGTGTGCTGGAGAAACCGAAAATTCGGTGATTCTTTCAAAAACTTTATTGACTTATATGTCAATTAAATTAAAAAAAAATCTGCACTAATCTTGCCATTCAGTTTTTATATAATAAAAGCAACCTTCGTGGATTATCTATCTATCTATCTATCTATCTATCTATCTATCTATCTATCTATCTATCTATGCAGACGCACAAATGGTTTATTCTATTCGGCGCGTCGGTAATCAAATGAATGAGCCTACAGTCGTAGACCAAGTTCAGAATGCCCACATAGTACATATGCACCGCTAATATCAACGCATTGAAATAGCAGGCATTACTGTAAGTGATAATTTTCTCATCACTGTAAATGTTCATTAATTTTTTCCATTGAAAAATATATTGCGATTCTGTCTTAGGCTATTCTATAAATTTCTATTTTCTGATATTTTTAATACTAATAAAACCCGGGAGTGCTGAAAATTTCACATTTCCACCTACTATTCCAGCGCAGTATTGTAACCTGCAGATGACTTCATTTGCTGTACGAAAAGTTTATCCTGTCACTGAAGGTGACTGATCCCTGAACAATAGTGTGTTTGAATTTAATACTTGTGCTGTCATATCCTGCTATGGCAATAGGAAACAACTTTGAGTGAAATTAACAATAAGGATAATGCAATTGAGAGGCCTTGAAAAAGAATGCAATAGAAAGTGAAGTAATATTAATAATGCAGAGTGATAAAGGTTAATAACTACACATCAGTATATTGATTTTGTAAAGTAGGCGCATTAAAATAGAAAAAGATGCCTCCCCAAATCTAAGTAAAGTATTAAGAAACGGGAAAATCTCGTTAGAAACAAAGAAAAGAATGCTGAACTGCTATGTAATATAAGTCCTCCTATATGCCAGTGTATACGAGACAGTTTTCTCACAGACAAAGAAGAGACTTGAAGGCACAGAGATGCGGTCCTACAGAAGGATACTGAGAATAGCATGGACTGAACATGTGAGTAATGAGAACGTTTGAAGGAAAATGGAAATAAAATGGACACATATATTTAGGATCAGAAGGAGATACCTGATGAAGGCCGGAACGCACAACGGTCGAAACGTCGTGCATATTGTAATAAAGATGAGGAAAACAATCCGAACAATGTAAATTGTGTAAATGTTAACTAAGTTAAAAATAAATACGATTCCTAATATTCGTCTTTATAAACTATAAATACAGATTCAGATATACACCCTTGTGCAAATTAATTGAAACAACTGCTTTAGTTTCCTTTCTTTCACTATGCAGTCAGCTTTAGACCCACTGGAATGACAGAGTGTAATCGATTTCTATTTTTTTCTCACATTAGGTCATTTGCTGTGGTGTGCAGTCCTATGAATCTATTTTCGGGTTGTATGATGAAATTTTTTTGGCCTTGAAAAATATTGCGTCATCCGTGATTGCATCAGATTTTCATCACGCCGAGACACTATTGTCTCGACTGTTGATTAGTTGTCCTACGGCCATTGTCTGTGATGGTCGTTACTCCAAGGAATCGTACGAAAATTGTAACGCTGCACGAAAACACTGACAAGCTTTATCAGTGAGAAAATCCAATCGAGAATTTGTAATCAATCTGCAAGGAAACGACTTCGTGGAATGGACATACGAAGTACTAACATGTTTTGCTGGGTCATCTTTCATTGGAAAAATGCGAAAAATAAGTAAATAATAACGGAATTATTCGGTTTGTTTCAATTTGCACAAGGGTGTAGGTGATCATGGCCCTCCACATCTTCCTGTATAATTAATTTGCACAAGGGTGTATATTTAGGATCAAAGAGAGAGAGCTAGAATTTCTTGGACACAAACTATTAAAAGCCCTTAGGAAAATTTGGCATATTGAACACAATAGGGGCAGTGGAGAACTATGATCGTCCACGTCTTGAAGGGACACGGTACGTGAAAGAGAATCAAGCCGAAAACTTTTTAGCAACCCCTTGTATATAGACATCGTGAAATTGTTCTTAGTGAATACCATCGTAACAGTTTAAAGGATGGAATATATTTCTTCACGGTGAGGTCGAAGCTGATGTCGACTTCTGAAGAAGCCGGCTGCGGGTGGGGGTCACATCTTTTACATATTCTTTATCTGATTTGAAGAAATTTAATTTCTCCACTCGACAAAGTAACATGTACCGACATCAAAGTGAATTTCCTCCAATGCTGACAGCATGTTCTTGGACATGTCATCTGAAGAGTAGAAGACCCACTTGATCGAATCTTTACATGGAATCATCTAAAGAAACGATTTTGCGATCATGTACAAAGACATGCATCGTGACACCGATATAACCCGATGGAAATCCTTGCTAATGATCACTTGCTTGGAATCAATCATTGTGGTACAGATCACTTTGTGACTGAACTTCTCCAGAAAGGAAAGAATACAATAAAGAGAAAAAAAAAGAAAAAAAGCAACAACAAATGACTTCGCAACTTTCTACTCATGCATTTTGATGACAGACACCCGTGTCACGTTTTTATAAGGATCCGTGATGCACAAGTAAATTGAGAGAAACGTTTACTTTGTCAACAGTAAAGATCGGGAACATGCCGTTGCGTTAACGAATCGACAGATCGTGAAATAGAACGAATCGGAGAAAAGGAAAAACAGTTGAAATCATTGAATCAATTCCGTGATTTATAGATTGATTTTTTTTACGGTTTGTCAAACATGTGCAGGTTATTTAAAGGCAGAAAATATTTTAAGATTGTAAGATAATAATGATTTACCGATACAAATCCCACTAATTAATCCATAGCTAGGGGAAGAATATGTATTTGCGTGTAAGTGTATTTGCGTGTATTTTTGAGAATATATGAGTGTTTAAGGGTATTTACGTTTAAGTGAATAAAAAAAACTGGAACTTGGAATTGAAGCTCAGGTCCTTGATTTCCAATTCCAAACCGTTGTCCATTACACCACCCGCGCATTCACGATTACTGCATATGGTATTTCCAAACGATCATCTCATTGATTCTCAACCGCCGTGCCACAACACACTCGTATGCCGCGTGATCCTCCTAAGTGTGCCGCAATATATTGTCACGGTATACATATATAAGGTGTGTGGAATTAGTAATGGTACAGTGTTAGTCTTTGAATATATGAATAAGTATTAAACTTTTATCCCACATCAGCTAAAAAGGCTTTATAGGCTTTATGAGTTTTATTGCAATTTTCTACTTCTTATTTATATAAATTAAGCTTCTCAACCCTAAATAACATCAAAAATAAGAAGCGAGAAAGACTATGAAAGAAAGAAATGAGAGTCTAAAGAAGAAATGAGAGTCTGCTTATTGCACATTCGACCAAACATTGAAGAAATCGCAAAACCACCCCTTGCACAGGTTTCACACTAAAATAAACTTCACAAATAGTTGAATAGAAATATTGAAGTAAAATAAGTTCATATTTGTGTGTGTATTTTTAAAAAAAATCTATGGTTTTATTTCATAACATGTAAATGTGTACCGCTTAAAAACTTTGCTAAGTGTGCCGTGATATGTTCGTTTGTTCCTAGGTGTGCTGTTGCTTAAAAATTTTGAGAAACACTGATCTAGATGCTGACCAGATTCAACGTTGCTTAATTTCGGTGTTTGTATGAGAACCGGTATTTCAACGTAATACGGCCGTAAGCCGTGATTTATAGAAGAATAAGTTTCTTAATTGTAGCTTATAGAAAAAAAATCTTTTTTTTTCGTTTTCTTTTTCGATGCATAAAATATGTTGATTACGATAGAAACAACATATTTTGTATTGAATTAGAAAGTGACCGCCATTTGTTTTTTTTTTTTTTTTTTATTCAAGAGTCTTCACTATTTTAAGCGAAGCTTGGCGTATGCAAAAGTTAATGGCTTGAAGGTTGATGTCGACAGTGTCTCAAGATGAAGTGAACAATATTAACCGCATGACAACAACTTATACGATATTACCAAAAATAATTTTAAAAAGTGAAGTTTGACATTTGCTTTTGTTACCGAGATGAAAGCAAACAGAGCAATTAATTCAATTCAAAATCATCTTTCTTGAACAGTGAACTTTCTCTCTCTGGAGATTGGAGACTGCTACAGAATGATTCTCCTTCAGAATGTAGAAAACCTATCATCGGAAGAAAAAGACGGGGCAGATGCAGTGGTGTTGGAAATGAGGAAGAAATGTTATTTTACTTACCGTCAAGATGTGCTCGTCTTTATACTCTCTATTCAGTTTATTTTCTGTAGTTGTAATTTGGCCTGTAAAGAAGCAAAAATAACAAATCATTAGACATACAGAGACTCTTCACAAATGTGTAGTCATAGAAGTATGCTTACATACATATATATATATATATATATGTGTGTGTGTGTGTGTGTGTGTGTGTGTGTGTATTAGTTATTTTAAGATTTGTAGCGATTTTTAGCATGTTTTTGTTTATTAAAACAAAAACATGCTAAAAATCGCTACACAATTACAATTATGATTCAACACTACAAATGTGTCTCTTCGGGCGATTACGTGCACTTACACGGCTTTTTACTCGCCCAGTGAGTCACGTTTGTAGTGTAGTGTTGAAATTGTAATTATGTAGCGATTTTTTAGCATGTTTTTGCTTTAATATTTAGCTCTACTCTGTGTTTAGCCCTCTTTTAAATAAAATACTATGGACAGTGGAATTATACTCCATTTGTTTTCGTTTTACCTATATATATATATATATATATATATATATATATAGAGAGAGAGAGAGAGAGAGAGAGACGGAGAGAAATTTTTAAACATGCTTACACAAACATTAATATACAAGAATAGAAGAATTATTTGAAGCTCGACATGTAGTTATTAACTGAATTTTGAGCTGAAGTTTTCACTGTATAATGTTCAACCAATATAATTCCTCACTGAATTAAGTGTGGGCACTTCAACGTGATATAGTGGTTAGCAAGCTTGTCTCACTACATCAGTCATGACTGAGTAGTGAGTTCAATCCCCACTGGGTGCTCCATACTTTCGGCCTTGTGCCACAACTAAGCTACGCTTAGAATATCCATATTTAGGCACTTTGACATGCTGTAATGGTTAGCAGGCTTGACTCGCTAGATCAATTAAGACTGAATAGTGAATTCGATCCTCATTGGGTGCCACATACTTTTGGCTTTGTGCCATATCTAAGCTATGCTTAGAAAATTACCATCACTGAATTAAGTGCATTGACAAAGAAGAAAATTATGTTAAAAAATATTCATTAAATACATTTTCATCATTAGGCTACACACTTACTAATGCGGTTAGGTGCATATGCCTCTGCACACATATCACACACACACACACACACACACACACACAGACAGAGATACACAGACACAGAGGGAGAGAGAGAGTGAATATAAACAAATCCTTTCTGAGATATGATTCAATATGTTGATGAACTCATAATATGTATGTGTATGTGTTTTGGTTTCTTTTCTTTTTAAATACTAATGCATTTATTTTGGAACTTGATTGTATTTTTGATGATTCTTCATGTTGAACTTTGACACACATGCATAGAATTCATAATGATATTTAATACAAAGCTTTGCTTCATACAGCCCAAGGCCATGAAAAATGAAGCATCAAGTGAGGCTTGAACTCACTACAGTAGCATTGGCTTGTGAGAGAATCTTGCTTACAAGCTCAAAAATGAGCAATAAAAAAATCTGTTCATAATATATTCTGCATTTATTAAAGACACACAACGACCAAAATATTTAAAAACTTATATATATATATATATATATATATATATATATATATATATATATATATATATATATATATATATATATGTATAGCTTTGAATTTGCAATATTTACAAGGGTGATAGATTGTATAGATTGCTGAAAATGTGACGCTGTGATATATATATATATATATATATATATATATATATATATTTTTGAAAAAAAAAAAAAAATTAAAATTTAAAATATATATATATATATATATATATATATATATATATATATATATATATATATATAATTTATATATAAGAGAAATTCAAAATACCAATATATATACAGATATTTTACCTGCAAGAGCAAGAGGTTAGGAAATAAAATAGAT